CAAACTCAGCAAACATGACAACGTAAAAGCCTGACTGCGCACAAACTGGCAGAAATACTCCAAGGCCTGGATCTGGCCTGGTCTTCCCAGCCAGAGAGGCCCAGAGCCAGGGAGCAGCCACTAAGAAGGCCTCTTGCCTTGTCCTCTTCCAGGCAGAGGAAGGGCCACTCTCCTGGGTCTTCATGGGGGAGAATAGGGTCTTCAAAGCAACCTGGCCCCAAACCACAGAGAGCTTTACTGTGGCTCTTTTGAAACGTTTGCATGGAAGTGGACTGGCAGCCAGAGAAGATGTCCCACCAAAGGGACATCACACACTCCCTGAAATAGGTCTCAGCCCAAAGTCTGGCTACAGGATTTGGGGCCAGAGGATGTCTCCAAACACCCCCAAGGCGGTTTCCAGCCCTCCCAATGGGACACCGCCACTTCGCAGCCGTGCATCACGAAAGGCAGGCCTGGCTTCTTCTCCTGGCAGAGCTGTGCAAACGCAATGCGAGAGACTGCAGTTCTGCCCACCCAAACATTTCCCCACAGCCAAGCCTGCTCACTAAGGATTCCAAATAGGACTGTAAAGGACTTTCCCCCCATTACACTATCTTCTCATACACACTTCTCTCCTTGCCATGAAGTTGTTTTTCGACAAATTAAATATCTGACTCGATTTGTTTTTTCTCTGAGGACACACTGCATTCCTCTTCAATGCCTTTGATTCCAGAAAACGTGCCTTTGTCCCACTCCACTGGCTACTGCTAAAATCTGAGCTCCCAAAGTTAAGGATTTTGTTGTAGGTCCAAACTACAAACGCCAATGGTCAAGGGAAAAATGAGCTGAGTGGCAGGCCCACCTTTTGCCCCTGAATTCTGGCCAGAATGTCTGAACACACTGTAGTACACAAAGGGTAGGGTTTTATAGCATTGGGGGGAATGAAGGTCTCCCTGCCACCCCTTCCACGCAGGATCCCTCCCTTCTCTTCAGCTGTGCTTGTGAGTTAGAAAGGACAACCATGAAAAACCTCAGATATGGGTAATATGCCTCACGTTTGTCCCCATCCACATGCCAGACTATCTGGCCCATCGACACTCTCTGGAGAGAGAAAAAGAAGGTGGTCCTCATCACAGTTCCAGGAAGAGCCCTTAATGCCTCTTGTTGGGCCTCCTCCAAGGACGATGGCAAAAGGTGACCCTCAGCATTAAGACCCCCGGCAAGGCCATCATGAAATGGGTGTCAGGATCTGTACATTCCCTGGCATTTCTGAAGTGATCGCAGGGAGAATACCTCAGGCCTGACCATATGTGAAAAGTGCTGTATCACTGTAAATCGGGTGTGAAGGCTGATGCAATGGGGGAGCCATGAAAGTTGTGTTCTCCCTATTGAGGGATAGATAGTGGTTGTTGGAGAGAGTTGCTGCTGGAGTCAAGAGAAACTCTAAAGTTTGTATACCTTGTATATACTGTATACTCATTGCTGCAACCGTAGAAGATAAAAGCATTCCTGCATTTCTGAAATTTATTTATTTATTTGCAACATTTATATGCTGCCCTTCTCACCCCAAAGGGACTCAGAGTGGCCTACAAGGTGTGTGTGTGTGTGTGTGTGTGTGTGTGTGTGTGTGTATACAAAACCCTATACGGTTCCAGCCCAGTGTATCTGTCCGAACGGATCTCCCTTTACGTCCCTCCCCGGAGTCTAAGATCTTCCGGGGAGGCCCTGCTCTCGACCCCGCCTCTATCACAAGTGAGGTTGGCGGGGACGAGGAGCAGGGCCTTCTCGGTGGTGGCCCCCCACCTGTGGAATTCACTCCCCGGGGAAATTAGATCTGCAACATCGCTCCTTTCCTTTAGGAAAAAACTGAAAACATGGATTTGGGACCAGGCATTCGGACAACCGGGCAGATAAAGAAAGGAATTGGACAATGACCAGGAAATGACTAATGGATTAGAACTATGGAACTCTGAAAAACGGAACGCTGAGCACAAGAATAGTTTTATATGATGTGTTATGTACTTGATTGTTTTAAGTGTGATAACTGCTTTTAACTATGGTTTTGTATATTATGTGTAAATTGTATAGGCATCGAATTGTGCCTTTTTTTGTAAGCCGCCCTGAGTCCTCCCTCGGGGGTTGAGAAGGGCGGGGTAAAAGTACCAGAAATAAATAAATAAATAAATACATACATACATACATACGTACATACAATACCAGCACTTTACATCACTATATTGTACTATGCAATTATACTGTAATATTATTAGTAATATTACATATAATATAAAATAAATAATTATAATATATTATTATTATAATATATTATTATTATTATTATTATTGTTGTTGTTGTTGTTGTTGTTGTTATACTGTATGATGATGCAGTTTTGAAATTTTAATTACCTTTTTTAAAAAAATGAAACAATTGAGGGAAAGCAGGAAACATTTATGGCTTTACCCTTTCTTTGGCTGCCACCGAAAGTGTACTACCAGGGTTTTCAGCAAAGGAGAACGAAGCGGGATGAAAAGACCGCCTCTAAAACACACCCTGAAAGATAGATCACTAGTACAAAGGATCTAGACCAGGCATAGGCCAACCTTGAAAGAACTGTGCCTGCGTGATCTTGTTACTGCAAAAGCCCACTACACCTATCTGTGGGTATCTGGTTCTGTAGCTGGAGCTATCGGCCGCTTTATTATTGCAATGGATGCTGAAAAAGCACAGCCAGGAGAGTGATAAATAGAACACAGAAGGCTATTGAGAGACGGGGAAGGGAATTGGCCAAATACCTTGGCCAAATACAGTAAAAGCAACTCAGCTTTCTGGGAGTCTCAAGGCAAAGGCAGCCAAAAATCCAAAGTATTCCATGCCCAGCAAGAGGGCCAAGAGCAGAGGCATGGCTGCCGCTCTCAATAATAATAATAATAATAATAATAATAATAATAATAATAATAATAATACTTTATTTATACCCCGCCTCCATCTCCCCAAGGGACTCAGAGCGGCTTACATGAGGCCAAGCCCAACAACACATCAATAAACAAGAAAGCAATAAACAAAAAATAACAACAATACAGTTAAATAAATCACATATAAACATTAACTTGCAAGGATTTAAAAACCTATGGCTGGGACGGGTGTAATACTTAAAAATTAAAAAATAAACGCTGGGCACGAACAATGTAGGATATGTCTAATAGGAGGGTTTTAAAGAAGTGAGGGGAGCGCAATGGCGTGGCACCTCAGAACCCGCCCCCCCCCCCAAGAACACCAGCCACCCTGGGGCAGGACTAGGAAGAGGTGAAGGTGAGAAACAGGCTCTTAAAAGTCTCCAGGCATGCCATACCCCACCCCAGTTAGATTTCTGTAACTCTCATAACAATACAAAGTCTTGAGAGATTGATTGATGTGTGGTTTCCACTTCCCTGCCCGTATACTCACTCCCTTCCCAAGATCCATGCTGTGACCCGACAATTTCAAAGCCTAGCCACGTTGCTAGTCCCAGGGTGCCTGTCGCTTTAAGAGAGCCTACCCACAAAAAAAGCACCCAAAAATACATCAACACAAGAGGGCTTGCCTACACAAGCTCACAATGAAACATAAGCCACAGTCCTAAACCAAATAGGATCCAAAGGAACTAGATTCTTTCTAGGAACTTTGTACGAAGGCAATGTGAAACCACATTACAGTGTTTTTGGAGAAGCGTTTCCTTCTGACACTAAGTTGAGAAAAGCACATGAACCCAATGTAGTAATAATAACAATAATAACAATAGTCGATGGCTTTCATGGCCAGAATCACTGGGTTGTAGGTTTTTTCGGGCTATATGGCCATGGTCTAGAGCCCTGATGGCGAACCTATGACACGTGTGTCAGCACTGACACGCGTAGCCATTTTCGATGACACATGGTTGCATGCGGCCGCATACAGAGAACATGGGGCCGCATCTCAAGAAGGACATTTCATCTTCAGCTCCTACACCAGCATTTTTCTATAATGCCGAGATATATGGCATTATAGAAAAAGCAGGTAAGTTAAATAATTAGTTTTTGGTTTATTAAATACAGTTATATATTACAATAATATATTTTTGTTATTAAACTATAAATATCATGAAATTATGTTTTTTTCTCGAAGTGACACCCCACCCGAGTTATGCTTGTTTTTTTGGCAAGTATTGACACACCAAGCTCAAAAGGTTGCCCATCATTGCTCTAGGGTCTCTAATCAGAGGTGTTTCCATGTTCTAGAGGCACCCTCAGAGGATGCTTGCCATAGATGCAGGCGAGACATCAGGAGAGAATGCCTCTAGAACATGGCCATATAGCCCGAAAAAACCTACAACAACCCAGTGATTCCAACCATGAAAGCCTCCACCATCTCCCCAAAGGGGACTCAGGGCAGCTAACATGAGGCCAAGCCCAGAAATTATAATCAAGCAAAATAAAATACAAACAAACTAATAATAACATCAAAGTAACATGCATAGAATAGCAAAATATACAATAGAACAACGCAAAATAAAATGGTAAAGGAATTGAAACACAATGTATAGCCTCCCCAGCTTCCAGAGGCGCCAGGGAAGCCACCCTTGAAAAATAATAATAAAATAATAAAATAAACTTTATTTCTTCCCCGCCACCATCTCCCCGATGGGGACTTGGAGCAGCTTACATGGGGCCAAGCCCGGACAACATAATACAGCAATAAAATCAAAGCATATACACCAGACAACAACATCATTATCAAAATGACATTATAATAATAAAATAATAATAATAGTAATAATAAAATAAAATAAAAATTCCAATAGACACAATCACGATAGAAATGACAATGGGCGGGCCACATATTCCAAATTAAAAAAACAATTAAGGGACTATGATGAGATAAAATAGGAGCAGAAAGTTTAAATGGGATTCATCAAACACACAGAGTTGTGGGGCAGAACATCCTATTTGGAGGGCATGAAATCCATTAGCCGAAAACGTTGAGGGGGTGTAAGATATACCCTTACCTTCCACGTGCCTCCTCACCGTCCACACAGCGTTGGGGTTACCAGGCAACTCCGAGACGGCCATTTCGGAGACCTACCAGACAAAAGGAGGTTCGTTTCTACCTCTACGTTCCCATCTTTTCCCCCAAATGAAAGGTGGGAAGGGGCCCAGCTCTGCCCTCCCCCCTTTACCTCCAGCCCATGCCTGAGGACCCTGAGGGACGACCGGGGGCCCCTCCCGCAAGCGACGTACAACTGAGGCGTATCTTCATTGGCCAGGTCAGCAATCTGGGCAAAAACAGGAAGGAAGTGAAGGTTGTACATGATTCGAGCCCCCGACTTCTCAGCATATTATTTGCAGGATCCTGTTCAACACTCTGGTCGTTGGCGGGTGGGCTTCCTGGGAGCTCAGTGTCGTCCTTCGTGTGGTTTGACAAGCAAAGACCTTTTCATTGAGACAGGCTTTTGGTGTTTAAATTATAAGGCGGAAAGGTGCTCTGAATGCTTTTGAAAAACAAGTCCTGGTTCAATACTGGGGTTTTCTTTTTAATGTATTGTCGAAGGCTTTCATGGCTGGAATCACTGGGCTGTTGTAGGTTTTTCCAGGCTATATGGCCATGGTCTAGAGGCATTCTCTCCTGACGTTTTGCCTGCATCTTTGGCAAGCATCCTCAGACAGATGCACACTCATCAAACACAGAGTTGTGGGGCAGAACATCCTATTTGGAGGGCACAAACTCCATTAGCTGAAAACGTTGAGGGGGTGTAAGATACTTTCTAAGTACAATTTTAACTGAGCTCCCTTTTATATTTTTGGTAAGCTGCTCTGGTCCCTCCCCAGGAGAAAGGCAGGATAGCAATTAAATAAAGGTTGCACAGAGTTAAGCACTGGAGGAAAAATGATTAAACAGCCACGATACATTAAAAATTAAAATATTTATATCTGTACTATTTATTAGGCTGCACTATTTGTTTAGTGCAGCCTAATAAATACTATAAATAGTATTCGACAATACTATTTATTTATCTATCTATCTCTCTGATATAGATATGTTCTTAGTGGGATGGGCATCCCAAGCCACCTTGTCTCTCTCCTGAGGAATCTGTACAAGGACCAAGGAGCAACAGTCAGAACTGACCATGGAACAACAGACTGGTTCAAGATTGGGAAAGGCGTACGGCAAGGCTGCATCCTCTCACCCAACCTTTTTAACTTGTATGCAGAACACATCATGCGATGTGCGGGGCTTGGATGAATGCAAAGCTGGGGTGAAAATTGCTGGAAGAAACATTAATAACCTCAGATATGCAGATGACACCACTCTGATAGCCGAAAGCGAGGAGGAGCTGAGGAGCCTTCTAATCAAGGTGAAAGAAGAAAGCGCAAAAGCCGGGTTGCAGCTAAACGTCAAAAAAACCAAGATTATGGCAACAAGAATGATTGACAACTGGAAAATAGAGGGAGAACCCGTGGAGGCCGTGACAGACTTTGTATTTCTAGGTGCAAAGATTACTGCAGATGCAGACTGTAGCCAGGAAATCAGAAGACGCTTACTTCTTGGGAGGAGAGCAATGTCCAATCTCGATAAAATAGTAAAGAGTAGAGACATCAGACTGGCAACAAAGATCCGCCTAGTCAAAGCCATAGTATTCCCTGTAGTCACCTACGGATGTGAGAGCTGGACCTTAGGGAAGGCTGAGCGAAGGAAGATCGATGCTTTTGAGCTGTGGTGTTGGAGGAAAGTGCTGAGAGTGCCTTGGACTGCGAGAAGATCCAACCATTCCATCCTCCAGGAAATAAAGCCCGGCTTTCCGAGAGTGCCTTGGACTGCGAGAAGATCCAACCAGTCCATCCTCCAGGAAATAAAGCCTGAATGCTCACTGGAGGGAAAGATACTAGAGACAAAGTTGAAGTACTTTGGCCACATCATGAGGAGACAGGAAAGCCTAGAGAAGACAATTATGCTGGGGAAAGTGGAAGGCAAAAGGAAGAGGGGCCGACCAAGGGCAAGATGGATGGATGGCATCCTTGAAGTGACTGGACTGACCTTGAGGGAGCTGGGAGTGGTAACGGCCGACAGGGAGCTCTGGCGTGGGCTGGTCCATGAGGTCACGAAGAGTCGGAGACGACTGAACGAATGAACAACAACTCTCTGATATTTCTATCCCACCTTTGTCAGACGGAGACAGGGCCTTCTTGGCTGTAGCCCCCCCCGCCTGTGGAAAGCGCTTCCAAATGAAATACGATCGACCCCATCCCTCCTGGCATTCAAGAATAAATTAAAATCTTGGTTTTGGGACCAGGCTTTCGGACAATGAACATAAAGCAGCACTTTGACTGGAAATGGACTGGCAAGACGATGTTAATGAGGAGACGGTTTTATGGTTCCATCAGTGGGTTTGTGGACTGAGTATTGTTTTAATGATTTATGATAATTTGGTTATAATTAACTGCTATTGTTTTAACTGCTATCGTCATCCCTCCTCACCTTTAGAAAAAAGGTCAAAACGTGGCTGTGGGGCCAGGCCTTCAGGCAATCAGGTTGAAGGACAATCGATGAGGTTGACTATGGCTTGGAAGAGGATTTGGATAAGTTAAGCGGAGTGATCATTAGTAGATGGCTAGCTAAACAGCCACCAGACGGGCAATAGCTAATCAGAGTGCAAGTATACGGTTTTAATCTTTATTTATTAATGTTCATGTATAATTGTGATATATGTTATTCTGTATTTTATGATGCGGCATTGAATTATTGCCAATTGGAAGCCGCCCTGAGTCCCCCACCCCCCCCCCCCTCAGCGGTTGAGAAGGGCGGGGTAAAAATGTTCAAAATAAATAAATAAACTCTGTATGTATTTATGGTTTTATACTGTGTTATTGATTTGTGGCATCGAATTGCTGCCTTTGTTAGCCGCTCTGAGTCCTCCCCACCCCCCCGGGCCGGGGATTGAGAAGGGCGGGGTAAAAAATGCTGTAAAATAAATAAATAAACCCGAAGGTGATTCAAGGCAGCTTACAACCAGGCAGCAATTCGATGCCTAACAATATACAATTAACAGAATTAACAAAAATACATTCAATAAAACAAATCGTCATCTGAGCCGTTCCTATGTTCACTTTAAAAATGCGGGAACTATCATGTATGTACAGTATGATGTACAGTAGAGACTTCGTTGAAAGTCAAATAGAATAAGTTTTATTTTTAAAACAGACACCTAACCACTCCTGAGAGGTACAAAAAGCGTGACTGGTTACAAAAGGACTTCAGCTTGATTGGTTGCTTGAACAGTTCTCTTGACTTTGTTCCAGACAGAACTAACTGTTGGTAACAAAACCCTCGCTCGCTTTCGGAGAATAGTGAGGAGTCTGACTAGCCTATCTAGGTAGCCCCTGGGTTATTAACTAACTCTCTACCCTAGAGTTCTTCCTGTTAACTAACCCAGCTGGAGAGCCAACCTCTTGTGCTAACCCTCACATGAGATCAGATTGCTGTCTGACCTTTTCCTGTCAGCTCACAGCACTGTCTAACACAGACACGCTCTCTCCTAGCTCTCTCCCTCAAACCCAGCATACTGTATATACTCTACACCTTCACACACCAGCTCCCAACTCTCACTGAAGCTCCCTTCTTCCCCTCCTCAGACTTGGCTCCTCTAAACTCCTCCCCTCATCCAACCATCCTCACTCAAGATGGCTGCCTCCCTGGCATTCCCTCCTACAATGGAGGCCTGCCTTACTGTTATCCAGGCTCCCTTTCTGGCCTACCAGGTAGGATTCACCACAGCGTTCCACAACACCATCCTTGGAATAAATCCAGAAGACGGCGAGTGAGGCCAGAGGCGCACCCGAGGCAATCCCGAATGAAGGGAAGAGGAAGGCCACATTACCTGGCAGCACAGGATGGGAGAGAGGCTGTCCAGCTCATCCACCAGCACCAGGTTCTTGAGCGGCCGGGGCTGGAAAAAGAAGGTGTCGCCTTCCTCCAAGGGCATGGCGGAGGAGAACTCGGGCTCCTCGTCGTCGTCTCCCAGGTGAGCAATCTGGTAGAGGTAGCTGCAGGTGGAAAGATTGTTTGCTGGAGCAAAACACTCTGAGGGAGAACAAGGAGAGGGCTGGGAGCCTACCTGGAAACCCTTCTCCTGCCCCTTTGTCACCTGGTTGCTCCTGGGACCGAAAAAAGCATGCCCTTCTCCTTCCAAAGCCCCAAGTCCCACACCAGAAAACGCAAGGGCAAGGACACCATGCTGCTCGAGTCTACTTACTGGTTCCCAAACTCCGAGGCCACAAAGAGGAACCCTGTTTTCAGCACACACATGGCAGCGGCTACGGGAACGGTGTCGAAGTACTTGAGGCGGATTTCCGTGACCTGAAAGGACCCCCAAGGATGTGAGCGATACGCCAAGGCTCCTTCGCAGCGCCACAAGCCGGCCTTGGCCCCTCCTTACCATGTCCTCGTCGGTCTCCAAGGTGATCTTGAAGATGTCCCCCTGCTCCGTCTGAGCCAGGAAAAAGAACATGGACTTGGTCTTGTGCGTCGCAGAGCAAACGAAGATCATGCCTCTCTCAGGGTCGTCCAAGTCGTTCTGCCAGAGGGGAGCGTCGGAAATATTAAAAATTAATTACAACAATGTGAGTCAAGCACTGAAAGGGTTAAATGGAAGCAGTGATTCAGCTAAAGCTGCAGTTCAATGTGAGCAAATGTGTTTATATTGTAGCTTAGTAGGCCTCTGTGTTAGCGTGCCTCAGTGGGAGAAAGGCCTCAGTCTGTGAGAAGGTCTCAGTGTGAAGTAGGCCTTAGTCTGTGAGAGAAGCCTCGGCATGAGAAGGCCTCGTGTGTGAAGCTCCAGTGTGAAGGCTGAACTTTATTTGTGTCATGGAAACCTTGTTCTTGTAAATAGTGCAACCATGTTATTTTGCTGTAAAGAATAGCATTGGTCTGTGTGTTTTTGTTCCTTTTTTCACTTTTGGCTACTGGTGCACATCAGGCACTTAGGCTCACAAGCATTTCTCAGAAAAGTTCCAAACACAGAGAACCACACTTTTATCCCTATCTCACCCATGGTTTTAACTTTTTAACATTTTACCTCATACATTTGGCCTGCCTCTGTCTGGTTTTACTATGCTGTTTTATATTGCTGATTTTGTTATTTTATATTTTGTTATGATGTATTTTGTTTATTATGTTGTATTATTTTGGCCTTGGCCTCATGTTAGCCACCCTGAGTCCCCTTTGGGGAGATGGTGGCGGGTTATAAATAAAGTGTATTATTATTATTATTATTATTATTCCTCTCACCTACTTCCTCGCAATCTCCCATCTTCTTTCTGAAGGCTCTGATCCACCAGGTTGCCTCCCCTCTTTGTAGCAAGCCCTCTCCATGGACATTCCCTGCCATCCCTTGGAGACACACCCTCTTTCACTTCCCATCCAAGCAACCATCTTCATTCCCCCCTGCCTTCCTTCTTGCCCGTTTCTCTCTCTTCTCGGAGGACCTTTCTACAAGTCTCTCTCTCCACCCTCACCATCCCAACTGCCACCATCGATTCCTTATACAAAAAAAAAATCAATGCCCCATCACCTTATGCCGATATATATATTGCTTATAATAAAACAAGATCCTCACCCTTCTTCTGGGAATGGGGCACCGGATGTCTGGCTGGTCACCAAAGTTTTTGTAGGTGATGTAGTTTTCGGAGCAAATGAGGACCCCGCTGGGACCGTCAGAACCACCAGGGACTGAAGAACAAAAAGGCACAAGCGGATGAAGGTAACAGCCACTGCCCACTCCAAAGCACAGTCTTTGCATCAAGGTAAGGCTTGTGTAGAAATACTTGCGGTGCTTTCTACAGAGCATTCCCCACTCCCCAGAAATGGACACAGATACAAATTTTAAGTAGGGTCTGATCTGAATGGCCACTTTCTTAGGTAGGGGCAGGGCCCGATCTCCTTAACAGAAGGGCGCAGAGCGGTACCTGTGATGAGGAAGTTGCCGTGCTCCTCCAAGGGCTCGCTGTACTTCCGGACGACGTGGTTCAGGCCCAGATCTAACTCATAAAAAGTCAGCGTCTGCTGGGTGCTGGCTGCGGCTTCCCCAGTGGGGTCGTTGTCCGCTTCCTGCAATAGGGAAAAAAGGCAGATGCTCCTGTGAAACTAACATCACACTTTGCCTAATGAGAGAAGAAGCATACTGTATATACTCGAGTAAAAGCCTAGTTTTTCAGCCCCTTTTTTAGGCTGAAAAAGCTCCCCTCGGCTTATACTCGAGTCAAGGTTATTTATTCTTTTACTCTGCTATTAGTATTATTTTATTACATTTATTATTTTACTCTATTATTATATTATTTGTGTTATTTTGCTCTATTATTATTATTCTATTTATTATTTTGCTCTATTATTATTATTACATTTACAGTATTTTACCCTATTATATTACATTTATTATTTTACTCTATTAATATTATATTTACATTAGTTTATTATTATTCTATTATTTTGTTCTATTATTATTATATTTACAGTATTTTACATTGTTATTATTATTACATTTACATTATTACATTATATTTAATCTATTTATTATTATTATTATTATTATTATTCACCGCTTTGAGTCGCCTGAGGGCTGAGAAAAGCCGTATATAAATAAAGTAAATAAATAAATAAATATTATTACATTTACAGTATTTTACCCTATTACTACATTTATTATTTTACTCTATTATTATATTTACATTATTTTGCTCTATTATTACATTTACAGTATTTTACCCTATTATTACTACATTTATTATTTTACTCTATTATTATATTTACATTATTTTGCTCTATTATTATTACATTTACAGTATTTTACCCTATTATTACTACATTTATTATTTTACACTATTATTACTGCTTTTATTGCATTTTCATTATTTTACTCTGTTATTTTTATTATTTTAATAATAAGTATATTTACATTGAAGGAGGTTAGCATAATGGTTTAATAAGAGTTGGACAGTCTTATCTTACAGTTTTATGTAAATATTCAGAAACATTTAGCCTATTGATGCTTCAATTAATGTAATTGTTGTGACTCAGTTTGATTCCGAGTCTGAAACGGAACCCTGTGAGCCAGAGTTCCCTGATGAAGAGGATGATGGGATTCAGATTTCTGTGGTGCCTGCCTCAGACAGTGCAGCAGGAGAAACATCAAGTCAGTTCTCAGGGGAAAAGAATGTCATGGGAGAGATAACGGCCAGGTGGAGTTGTCTTCGCCTCCGCAGCCTTCCCACGGTGATCTAGTCCAGCTGGACCAAGATAAAGAGAGCCTTGAAGACAGTGAAATAATGAGCAGGTAAGAACGCTTAGAATTCAGGGTCCGGAGGAGCTCTCACTTAGCTGGTAAGCGAGAAGCCAAGTCGGCCAAGGGTCATCGCAATGCGTTCATGATTGCAAAGGGTATTTAGCCTTCTGGCTGACAAACGGGAGTTGTCAGTTCAACGTGGCTCTTTCCATGCAAACTTCTAGGGATTAACCTTGGCTTTAAGCAGCACGCTTTTGGCTTCCTGAATCTGGGATTTTGGGTCTTGTGTTTCACTGTTTGATCACTGCCTAAAGGATTATGCTTCATGTTTTTGCCTTTGGATCTTGGTATGTCTTTGTATTTAAGCCTCTGTCCTGGTTGTGGAACTTTTGCATTTCTTATTCTATGTTTTGACTTTGTATTTAAGCCTCTGTCCTGCTTGTGGAACTTTTGCATTTCTTATTCTATGTTTTGACTTTGCTTTTTCCTCAATAAACTACAAAATCTACAGTCCTGGTGTGGTGGTGTTTGGGAGCAAGGTGAAACTACCCTTAGATGCAACAGTAATTTTATTGTTATCTATTTTTATTTTGAAATTGACCCATAGTGGATGCATTTCCCACCCTCGGCTTAGACTCGAGTCAATACGTTTTCCCAGTTTTTTGTGATAAAATTAGGTGCCTCGGCTTATATTCGGGTCGGCTTATACTCGAGTACATAAAGTATATTAAAACAAACAATACCTGACGACAAAGACAGAATATCTAGTATAGCATAATAATAAATGTTTAACTTATATCAACTACGTAAAAAAGACACATCAATTTCAAGAACATGTATTTGTAGAACATGTTCAACACACATTAGAGCTCATGCTCATATACTAAGCACCTTCCCCCTCTTTTTCTTTTCTCCATTGTTTCCTTCTTCCTTGTAAATACAGTTTAATAACCCATTTATTGTATTTAAAGCAAGAGCCCAACTCCTCAGCACCTCGTAATCCATTTCCAGGCAGGCAAACATGGGGTTCTCAAAGCCGACATCCACCCCGACCACGTGGTAAACCAAGGTGTTGGCCTTGTGGGCCTCCAGCGGGGAAGAAATGGTCAGGCGGGCGGCGGCATCTCTGTTCAGGATGTAGACAAGCTTCTGCTTCTCAATGGCACCTGCGTGCACACAAACCACAAGAGAGTATACTGTGAACACCATGGAAAGAAAGCAAGAGGTCACTCCTTGAACATCATCAATGTTTAAGACAACAAACACTGTCTCCATTGTTGCAGAAGGGACATTAAATCAGAACCTGCTCTAGATGGAACTCCATAGCTAGGAGTCCATGCTAAAGATGTGTTTGATTGTAATTTCTTGAAAAAGTCATATTTTTAAAACTATAAATTGGCTGCACATCGTAACTTTATTTATTTTTTGCCGTATTTATATACCACCCTTCTCAGCCCGAAGGCAACTCAAGGCGGTTTACAGTCAGTATAATTTGATGCCTCCAACAATATAAAACACTATTAAAATATTTAACATCTAATATAAAACCATATAAAACCAATAAAAACATACGTCCTCACCATCTCCTTACTAAACTTATTTTCCAGTCGCATTGTCTAGTCATCCAGTGGATCTAAATTTGCCAATAATAATAATAATAATAAACTTTATTTATACCCCGCCACCATCTCCCCCAGTGGAGACTTGGGCCGGCTTACTTGAGGCCAAGCCCAAGCAACAAATTACAATAAAATAAAACCCAAAGTCACAAATGACAACACAGTGAAATACATAAAAAATATGAATACAATAAGCAATCTTATCTGGCCGGGGTGGTCCATGCCTTAGTCACCTCTAGACTGGATTACTGCAACGTGCTCTACGTGGGGCTGCCCTTGAAAACGGCTCGGAAACTCCAATTGGTCCAGCGGGCAGCAGCCAGAATGTTAACTGGGGCCCATTACAGAGAGAGGTCAACCCTCCTGTTTAAGGAGCTCCACTGGCTGCCGTTTATTTTCCGAGCCCAATTTAAGGTGCAGGTGCTTACCTACAAAGCCCTGAACGGTTTGGGACCACCCTACCTGCATGACCGCATCGTTGTCTACGAACCCACACGCTCACTCTGGTCATCAGGAGAGGCCCTGCTCGTGATCCTGCCCGCGTCACAAGCACGTCTGGTGGGGACACGGGACAGGGCCTTCTCCGTGGTGGCCCCCCGCCTCTGGAACACCCTCCCGAAAGACCTCAGACAAGCCCCTACACTGGCAGTCTTCAGAAAGAATTTGAAAACCTGGCTGTTCAAATGTGCCTTCTCAGACTAGGAACCCTATGTGCCTTCTCTGACTAGAAACCCCAGTCCCAAATCCCAGAAGCACTTTAGTCAGAACCAAGACCACCGCACACTGCACTTATATTATAATCCCATATCCCTCCGACACATCAGCACTTTTAATCCTGTACCCCTACTCCGGCCGGCTCAGTTTTTTTAATAATGTCTTGTTGTATTGCTATTGTATTTGTTTTCTGCTTAATTGTCTTATTTGCTATGTATTGTGTTGTTGTATTGTGTGGGCTTCGGCCTGTTGTAAGCCGCATCGAATCCTTCGGGAGATGCTAGCGGGGTACAAATAAAGTAATAATAATAATAATAATAATAATAATAATAATAATAATAAAAATACAATATCCACAATCACAATCACAATGAGCTGGCCGCATGTGCAAGATAAAACGCTAAAACTCAGGGTGAGATAAAAGAGGAGCAGATTATTTGTGAGGAAGAAGAGCTCATAAAGAAACGGGGTTGTAAAAAACTGGCCTTCGTACAAGTGGGGGAACTTTAATATATCCTAAATAAGATTAAATGGTAATTCAGCCAGAGGCCAGAATAAACCCAGTAGGTTCATCACAAACAGAAACAAAACCACCCAATCTCCTCTGCAGTCTTGTCAGAGGAGGAGGAGGGAGACAGGAGAGAGAGAAGACTGCCAAAAGGAAACTTCAGGGGTGTCCAACAGGAATAAGGGCCACCCTGAAACCCAGCAAGGTTCTAACAAGCTCACAGGCAAGAGGCAGGCTTTAACGCAACAGCAGTTCTATTCATTCTGCAACCCCACGGTACCGCATTCTAGTCAAGAGGTATTTCAACATGTACATATAAAAAATAAGGACCTGATCAGAAATGGATCCAAGCATCTCCATGGCTTATTTCAGAGAAGAGACATGAATTCCTAATCATCATTTCAGGCCAAAGGGCAGAAAAAAAGCTCAAACCCTAGTGACTTGCAGCCCCCTGCAACCCAGTTCTCTGCACCATCAACCCCCCAAAAATCTTCCGACCAGATCATGACCAAAGTCAAGAGATCCCCTGGTTGTTCCAGTGTTGGTTGAGGAGACCGCATATGTTTCTGTCAGTATATGAACCAACAGAGCTCCTCCGCGGTTTGTGAAGTCAAAACTCACATAACCCAAGAGGAATCACAGGTCTGGTTAACTGGGTGGCAGCATGCAAACACCAACTTGGGGAGATCCCCCTTTCCCTCCCCTCTCAAGAGCCGCGTCCAGACTTACTGATCATGACGGCTCGTCCCTTGGGGTCCACAGCCAGGTACTGCCCGGGCACGATCCTGCGGCAGCCGCTCTTGCCAAAGGTTTCCTGGTGGATCTTCTCAAAGACATTTTTGGAAGGCTGGTATTCCAGAATGACGATGCGGCCCGAATCGCTGCCCACCACAATGTAGTCTTTGGTCCCGCCGGTCAGCCTGAAGGCCATCAGGGAGCGAATGATCCCAAAGACTTCGACCGTCAGCAAAGTGTGGACCTTTCCAGTATTTGGATCGGGGCGAAGCAACTCCAGGATCTTCCCTCGGGAAACAACAATCTCTTGCTGCTTGGTTCCTAGGAATTATTTATTTAGTTAGTATTTGTATACTGCTTTTCTCACCCCGAGGGGGACTCAAAGCTGTTTACACATAAGTAATGGCAAAAATTCAATGCCAGTACAAACAATTACAATTATACACTACAATTAGACATAAATTACATTAAAAATACATCAATGAGCAATAAGACAATCATTAAAACAATAAAACAGTCTCATCCATTGAATCGCCGTTCCAGTCATTGTGTTTCTGAAATGCTGCATACATTTACTTCTACTGCCCAAAGGCCTGGTCCCAAAACCATGATTTTAATATTTTTCGAAAAGTCAGGGGGGAGGGAGCGGATCTTACCTCATTTGGGAGTGTGTTCCATAGCTGGGGGCCACAGCCGAGAAGGCCCTGTCTCTCATCCCCGCCAGACGCATCTGTGCTGTTGATGGGAGCGAGAGCAGGGCCTCCCCCGATGATCTTAGATTACAAGGTGGGACGTAGGGGTGGGTGCGTTCGGACAAGTAAGCTGGGCCAGAACCATATAAGAAGAATGGCGATGGGTGAGGACTGCAGCTTCTCAAAATAGCAGCATGCCCTGCTCAAATGGGGCCTTACAGATCGATTCTCACACCCTGACACAATTGGGAAGGCTTTTTTGATCAAATAAGATAAAATTCAAAAACACAAGTGAGCCAGAACTCCGAATTCCAAATTCACCCAATTTTTCAAAAGCTGTTTTCAGAAGTTTTGCATATTATTACTGCAAGTTGTAATGTCTTGCCATCAGCTGTTTTGGATGGGAGATTTAAAAACATGGGATCTTCTAAAAGGGTTTGTTCTTGTGACATGGTTTCTGTTGAAACAGTTCATTATTTGTTTGTTTGCCTTAAATATAACAATATATGAATGGAATATAGGAATTCCTTTTTTTCCACTATATTCTCAATGGCAAGAGTGTTATAAAAATCCTTATCTTCTGAAGAATTCTGATGTATTCTTTTCTGAGACTGTTGCACATTTTATCCTTGAGGTTAGTAACTCTTAATTATTCTTTCTTTTTGGTCCATGACTTCCTTTAGTTGTCGCCTTTGGACTGAAAAGGGCGGGATAAAAGTGTGGTAAAATAAATGAAAATAAATATAGGCCTGTGCTGTGATTTTGTTGTTGTGTGCCAATAAAGGCTGTGTTATGTTATAGTTAAGGATAACATAACACAGTCCGCAACTCACCAACACATAATAATAATAATAATAATAATAATAATCTATACATATAAAAATGCTCTGTGCGTAATGAGTACCCTAAAAACAAAAGAACCAATGAACAAAATCACACCAAATTTGGCAACAAAACATCTCACAACATAAGGAGTGACCATCACTCAAAAATTATGATTTTGTCATTTGGGAGTTGTAGTTGCTGGGATTTATAGTTCACCTAGCACTCTGGTCTCCACCAATGATGGAATTGAACCAAACTTTGCACACAGGACTCCCATGACCAACAGAAAACACTAGAAGACTTTGGTGGGCATTAACCTTCAGTTTGGGAGTTGTAGTTCACCTACATCCAGAGAGCACTGTGGACTCAAACAATGATGGATCTGGACCAAACTTGGCACGAATATACTCCATATGCCCAAATATAAACACAGATGGGGTTTGGGAAAAGAGAAAGAAGGATGGAAGCAAAAGGCGAAGGAAGGAAGGAAAGAGGTAGAGAAAGAAGAAAGGAGAGAAAGGGAGAGAAGAAGGAAAAGAGAAAGAAAGATGGAAGCAAAACTCGAAGGAAAGAAGGAAAGAGTAGAGAAGGAAGAAAGGAGAGAAAGGGAGAGAAGGAAAGAAGGAAAAGAGAAAGAAAGATGGAAGCAAAACGCGAAGGAAGGAAAGAAAGAGATAGAGAAGGAAGAAAGGAGAGAAAAGGAGGGGACGAAAGAAGGAAAAGAGAAAGAAGGGTGGAAGCAAAAAGTAAAGGAAGGAAGGAAAGAGATAACGAAGGAAGAAAGGAGAGAAAGGGGGGAAGGAAGGAAAGAAGGAAAAGAGAAAGAAGGATGGAAGCAAAAAGTAAAGGAAGGAAGGAAAGTGGTAGAGAAGGAAGAAAGGAGAGAAAGAAGAAGGAAAAGAAAAATGGGGGAAGGAAGTAAAAAGGTAGAGAAGGAAGGAAATAAGGAAAGGGAAGGAAAGGGAAGGAAGGAAAGGAGAGGAAGGGGAGAAAGAAGGAGAGAAAGAGGGAGGGAAGGTTGGCCACAGCAACGCGTGGCGGGTACAGCTAGTAATAATAATAATAATAAACTTCATACCTCACCACCACCTCCCCCAATGGGAACTCGGAGTGGCTTACATGAGGCCAAGCACAACAACACATCAATAAAAACAAAAAAGCAATAAACAAAAATAATAAATACAATTAATTAGTTAATTAATTAATTTACTGTATTTGTATCCCGCCTTTCTCAGCCAATTGGTGACTCAAGGCAGTTTCCAACAAATCAGTACACATAAAACATAATATAGATAAAAAACATTAAACACTATAAGACATCACAAAAGCAATAAAAGCAACATCATCAGCATCTCATTATTCTCAAGCAATGTCCAATTCCATTGTCAGGTCATTAGCTATATTAGCTACTCTGTATTTGTATTTATATAAATCGCATATAAAGAATAACCAATAAACAGTAACACACAAGGATTTAAAAACCTATGGCCAGGCCAAATGTATGAACAAGGTAGGATATATCTGGTATAGGGTTTTAAAAGAGATGAGGGAGCGCAGTCCAACATATGGCCCTTAGCAGCAAAAAGGTGGCCCACATCCCTTCTAAACTTATGACAAAAATGTCTATGGCAACTCCACCACTTTCTTTCCTTCCTCCTGAAAAGGCCCAAGTTTATTTGCCCAGAAAAATATGAGAAGCTAAGAAGGGAATGCCTCCTCTCGTGGCCTTTCTGCGTCCCCAGAAAGAGGACTCACAGGCCTGCAGGGTCTTATGAGGTGGCTCCTGCATTAGCTGCACATACATGCTACCAGTTAGAATGGCACTCACCTGAAAAATTGCCATGGATGGCATAGCTGATGCCAGTGGCTCGCTGCAAAGTCAGGTTGTAAAGGAACATGGTGCCGGTTCGAGGTCTTCACCTCCGTCCTCCTGCCAGCAATAGAATCAAGCCATTAGAGACAAACGCATAGAATGGAATCGATCCACACATTGAAATGAATGCTCACCGATTCAGAAAAGGGGATCGAGATCATAGGTAAAACTGTCAGGAAGCAAGAATGATACATCAAACAAGCATTTCCAAAATCAAAACACCACTTTGCAAATCCCTCAATATTTGGTTTGAGGAAGAAAGCATCTTGTCAACATGAAAACACCACACCCTGAACATATTGATCTCCTTGATATGCTAAGAAGGAATCCATTTTCCTTCTCCAGCTCTGAGAAGGAAGGCCTTCCTTACAATGCCTTATTATGGCCACCTGGCAGGCGGCGCAGGGTGACAAAGACAAGGACGGGCAGGCTGAAGGATAGCTTTCACCCTAGAGATGTGGCTATGATGAACTCCATGGCTTCGTATTGATGTGGCCATGGGGGCTGTGCGGTGTGTGCAAGGGGACAGCACTTAATCCCGTTGCACGATGCACATCAGGCATGGGCCAACACTAGGCCCATGATTAATGCACAACGACAATAAAGCTATTCTATTCTATGTATTCGTGCATATATACGACGTTGCTTGAGTGTCACTGGGACCGCTGATAGCCTGCATTGATGTGGCACTGGAAGCTGTGCGGTGGTGGTGAGAGTGCGTTGCCTTTGCAGTGTGTGTGGGGAAGGCATTTAATCTTGTTGCATAATGCACATCAGGCATGGACCAACACCGGCCCATTCCTGATGCACAGTGACAATAAAGCTATTCTAGACTATTCTATTCTCCTCTTGTTATTGCTATCTGGCAGATGGTGCCGTGTGACAAGGACAAGGACAGGCTGAAGGATAGCTTTTACTTTAGAACTGTGGCTATGCTGGACTCCATGGCTTCACATTGATGTGCCATAACAATTAGAATGTGGAGGGGTAGGTGTGTTGTTTGTGGTATGTGCTGGGTCAACACCAGGCCCACGCCTGATGCACTTTCTTCCTTCTCCAGCTCTGAGAAGGAAGGCCTTCCTTACGTCTTATTATTGCCACTTAGCAGATGGTGCAGAGTGACAAAGACAAGGACAGGCTGGCTGAAGGATATCTTTCACCCTAGAGCTGTGGCTATGCTGAACTCCATGGCTTCACATTGATGTGCCTGCTGCACAAGGACAATAAAGCTATTCTATTCTATTCTCCTCTTATTACTGCTATCTGGCAGATGGCGCAGGGTGACAAAGACAAGGACAGGCTGGCTGAAGGATCGCTTTTACTCTAGAGCTGTGGCTATGCTGAACTCCATGGCTTCACATTAATGTGCCTGATGCACAAGGAAAATACAGCTATTCCATTCTCCTCTTATTATTGCAATCTAGTTGATTATTATTATTTGTGCACATACCCCGTGTTGTTTGAGTGTGGTAGGGGCTGTGGCCTGCCTCCTTTCTCCCTTCTCCAGCTCTGAGAAGGAAGCCCTTCCTTACAATGTCTTATTATTGCCACCTGGCAGATGGTGCAGGGTGACAAAGACAAGGACAGGCAGGCTGAAGGCTCGCTTTTACTCTAGAGTTATGGCTATGCTGAACTTCATGGCTTCACATTGATGTGCCTCCTTTCCCCCTTCTCCAGCTCTGAGAAAGAAGACCTTCCTAACACTCACTCTGAGGCCTTTCCCTCAGGGCGCTAGGCGTGAAAGCTATTCTATTCCATGCTCACACTCACTCTGAGGCCTTTCCCTTTGCTATGCGAAGAGTCTCTCTGCGGAGGCCTTTCCCGCACGGGGGCCAGGCGTGAAAACTATTCTATCCCATGCTCACACTCACTCTGAGGCCTTTCCCTCAGAGGGGGCCTTCCTTTCCCTCAGGGCGGTCAGGCGTGCTTTCTCCCTTCTCCAGCTCTGAGAGAGAAGACCTTCCTACACTCACTCTGAGGCCTTTCCCACAGGGCGCTAGGCGTGAAAGCTATTCTATTCCATGCTCACACTCACTCCGAGGCCTTTCCCTTTGCTATGCGAAGAGTCTCTCTGCGGAGGCCTTTCCCGCACGGGGGCCAGGCGTGAAAGCTATTCTATTCCATGCTCACACTCACTCTGAGGCCTTTCCCTCAGAGGAGGCCATCCTTTCCCTCAGGGCGGCCAGGCGTGCTTTCTCCCTTCTCCAGCTCTGAGAGAGAAGACCTTCCTAACACTCACTCTGAGGCCTTTCCCTCAGAGGAGGCCTTCCTTTCCTTATTATTTGTGCACATCTCCCGTGTGGTAGGGGCTTTCTCCCTTCTCCAGCTCTGAGAAAGAAGACCTTCCTACACTCACTCTGAGGCCTTTCCCTTTGATATGCGAGGAATCCCTCTGAGGCCTTTCCCTCAGGGCGGCCAGGCTTGAGGCTCCGGCCTAGGCCCCGGCCTTCCTCCTCCTCCTGGGCCTCTCCGGCTCCTCCGCCCGGGCCTACCTCCAATCCCGGCCCAAGGGAGACCCCGGCTCCCGTTGTGACTCTCCCCGGTGTGGCTGGGGCCCCGTCGCGGCGCGGATGGCGACGGATTTTCCCGGCCGCGGCCTGCTTCACCTCAGCGGCGCCATGGCGGCCTCTCTTCCCGCGCGCGCAGGCCAAAAGGGGTCCTTCCTTCCTTCCACTCTGCCGGGGCTGCCCTCGGCGCGCCTGAGCCAATTGCCGGGCCACTTCCGCCCGGCCAACCGGAAGTGATGCTTTTGACTGAGAAGGGGTCCTTCCTTCCTTGCGCTCTTCCCCGGGGCTGCCCTCGGCGCGCCTGAGCCAATTTTCGACCGGCGAACCGGAAGTGATGCTCCTCCTGAGGGGCGCGGGGCCAAGATGGCGGCGCTGGGGAAGGAAGGCCGCGCGGTTGGCGGACCCGGAGGGCCTTCTGCCGCCTCTGCCTCGCTCTCCATGGAGGAAATACGCGCCCTCCCCGGCCTCACGGAGCTCGAGGCCGCCTACAGCCGCCTCTGCGCGGAAGAGGTGCGAAAGAAGGCAGGAAGGGGCCCCCAGAGGACATCCAGCCCAACCCGGAAATGAAGGAATATGGGGGAGGGTCATGGAATCACAATAATAGAGTTGGAAGGGACCCCCAAAGGCCAACTAGTCCAAACCCATTATGCCATGCAGGAAAAGCACTATCAAAGCACCCCTGACAGATGGCCATGCAGCCATAATAATAATAGAGTGGGAAGGCACCCCCAAAGGCCAACTAGTCCAACCCTTTTCTGACATTCAGGAAAAGCACCATCAAAACACCCCTGGCAGATGGCCGTCCAGCTTCAGTAATACTCATGATGGTAATAATAATAATATTAAAGGCCATCCCGTCCAACACCTGCCTAGCAGGAAAAGCACCATCAAAGCCCTCCCAACAGATAGCCCATCCAGGCTCAGAAATACTAATAATAATAGAATCCTAGAGTGGGAAGAGACCCCAAGGGCCATCCAGTCCAACCCCATGATGCCATGCAGCCATAATAATAATAATAATAATAATAATAGAGTGGGAAGAGACCCCAAGGGCCATCCAGTCCAACCCCATGATGCCATGCAGCCATAATAATAATAATAATAATAATAATAATAATAATAATAATAATAATAATAGAGTGGGAAGAGACCCCAAGGGCCATCCAGTCCAACCCCATGATGCCATGCAGCCATAATAATAATAATAATAATAATAATAATAATAATAGAGTGGGAAGAGACCCCAAGGGCCATCCAGTAACTCCATGATGCCATGCAGGAAAAGCACCATCAAAGCCCCCCTGATAGATGGCCGTCAAGCCTCAATAATATTCATGATGGTGATGATGATGATAAAGTTGAAAGGGACCCCCAAAGGCCATCTAGCCTCAGTAATAATAATAATAGTAGTAGTAGTAGTAGAATCCTAGAGTTGGAAGGGACCCCAAGGGCCATCCAGTCCAAACCCCTGCCATGCAGGAAAAGCACTATCAAAGCACCCCTGACAGATGGCCATGCAGCCATAATAATAATAGAGTGGGAAGGCACCCCCAAAGGCCAACTAGTCCAACCCTTTCTGACATTCAGGAAAAGCACCATCAAAGCACCCCTGACAGATGGCCATGCAGCCATAATAATAATAATAGAGTTGGAAGGGACCCCCAAAGGCCAACTAGTCCAAACCCATTATGCCATGCAGGAAAAGCACTATCAAAGCACCCCTGACAGATGGCCATGCAGCCATAATAATAATAGAGTGGGAAGGCACCCCCAAAGGCCAACTAGTCCAACCCTTTTCTGACATTCAGGAAAAGCACCATCAAAACACCCCTGACAGATGGCCGTCCAGCTTCAATAATACTCATGATGGTAATAATAATAATAATATTAAAGGCCATCCCGTCCAACACCTGCCTAGCAGGAAAAGCACCATCAAAGCCCTCCCAACAGATAGCCCATCCAGGCTCAGAAATACTAATAATAATAGAATCCTAGAGTTGGAAGGGATCCCAAGGGCCATCCAGTCCAACCCCATGATGCCATTCAGCCATAATAATAATAATAATAATAATAATAATAATAATAATAATAATAATAGAGTTGGAAGAGCCCTCCTGGGCCATCACCCAGTCCAACCCCATTCTGCCAGGAAGCAGGAATATTGCATTCAAATAATAATAATAATAATAATAATAATAATAATAGAGTGGGAAGAGACCCCAAGGGCCATCCAGTAACTCCATGATGCCATGCAGGAAAAGCACCATCAAAGCCCCCCTGATAGATGGCCGTCAAGCCTCAATAATATTCATGATGGTGATGATGATGATAAAGTTGAAAGGGACCCCCAAAGGCCATCTAGCCTCAGTAATAATAATAATAGTAGTAGTAGTAGTAGAATCCTAGAGTTGGAAGGGACCCCAAGGGCCATCCAGTCCAAACCCCTGCCATGCAGGAAAAGCACTATCAAAGCACCCCTGACAGATGGCCATGCAGCCATAATAATAATAATAGAGTTGGAAGGGATCCCCAAAGGCCAACTAGTCCAACCCCTTTCTGACATGCAGGAAATGCACCATCAAAGCCCCCCTGACATGATGGCCATCCAGCCTCAGTAATAATGATAATAATAATAGAATCCTAGAGTTGGAAGAGACCCCAAGGGCCATCCAGTCCAAACCCATTATGCCATGCAGGAAAAGCCTCCCTGATAGATGGTCGTCCAGCCTCAATAATATTCATGATGATGATAGAGTTCAAAGGGACCCCAAAGGCCATCTAGTCCAAACCCCTGCCATGCAGGAAAAGCACCATCAAAGCTGCTCTGACAAATGGACATCCAACATCAAGAATAATAATAATAATAATAATAATAATAATAGAATCCTAGAGTTGGAAGGGCCATCCAGTCCAAACCCATTATGCCATGCAGGAAAAGCACAATCAAAGCCCCCTTGACAGATGGCCGTCCAGCCTCAATAATATTCATGATGATGATAGAGTTCAAAGGGACCCCAAAGGCCATCTAGCCTCACTAATAATAATAATAATAATAATAATAATAATAATAATAATAATAGAATCCTAGAGTTGGAAGGGACTCCAAGGGCCATGCAGTCCAAACCCATTATGCCATGCAGGAAAAGCACCATCAAAGCACCCCTGACAGGTGGCCATTCAGCAATAATAATAATAATAATAGAGTTGGAAGGGACCCCAAGGGCCATCCAGTCCAACTCCATGATTCCATGCAGGAAAAGCACAATCAAAGCACCCCTGGCAGGTGGCCATGCAGGCATAATAATAATAATAATAATACCACCCTCAATAATATTCAATAATAATATAGGGTTGGAAGGGATTGCATGGGCCATTCAGTCCAACCCTTGCCATGCAGGAAAAGCGCCATCAAAGCCCTCCCAACAGATGGCCACCCAGCCTCAGTAATAATAATAGAATCCTAGAGTTGGAAGGGACCCCAAGGGCCATCTAGTCCAAACCCATTATGCCATGCAGGAAAAGCACAATCAAAGCACTCCTGACAGATGGCCATGCAGCCATTATTATTATTATTATTATTATTTTGGTTACAGTGAACACCTAAAAAGCCATTCCCTTGGTATGTTTTCAGATCACAGTCGAGGAAGAGCTGGAGATGCTTCTGGAACAGCAGGGCACAATCGAGGGCAAGATGGCTTCCCTCCATCGCATGGGGTGAGTGAGATATTCTGCACGTAGTTTGGGGGTGCAAGGCTCTAACATTGCCAGGGACGGAGAGAGCGGATGCCATGAGAGCCAGAGCGGCTTCTTTCCCTCCTTTGTTTCCAGCCCCAACCTGCAGCTGATCGAAGGCGATGCCAAGCAGTTGGCCGGGATGATCACCTTCACCTGCAACCTGGCAGAGAACGTCAGCAGCAAAGTTCGGCAGCTGGATCTGGCCAAGGTAACCCTGTCAGGCGGGAATCGCCCCGTCATCTCCTCCGTACCCACTTGGCTTGTTTAGAGGAGGCCAACTGCAGGGGTTGCTCATTATCTTCTTCTTCTTGCAGAACCGCCTCTACCAGGCCATCCAGAGAGCGGATGACATCTTGGACCTGAAGTTCTGCATGGACGGAGTTCAGACGGCCCTGCGGGGCGAAGATTACGAACAAGCTGCCGCTCACATCCATCGCTACCTTTCACTGGACAAGTCGGTCATTGAGCTCAGCCGACAGGGACGAGAAGGTATCGGATGCCATTTCCATATGAGTTGCAAACATCCTAGGACCCTTCCATATAGCCATAGAACCCAGAATATCAAGGCAGGAAATCCCACAGTTATCTGAGTCCACACTGCCACATATTCCAATTCAAAGCAGATAACGTGGGATTTTATTCAGCTGTGAGGAAGGGGCCCTCGCTAAGAACAACGGGGCTGAGACAACAGGAAGTAGGAAGGAAGGGAGGGAGGGAAATCCACAGTATCAAGGGGGAAAGTGGGTTTCCAATGAAGCTCTAGCCCCAAACCTTGTTTCCACAACAGGCAGATTTCCAAAATCCAATTCTTACAAGAACAGAAAGTGAGGTGAAATCTTCCAAACAAGGGCACAAAGGAAACAACATAGGGGTGTTTGCCCTTCCCTATGCCAGCCAAGATTTTATATATATATATATACACACACACACACACACACACACACACACACGTGTGTGTGTGTGTATGTATACATGACTATATGTATGTGTCTCTCTGTGTGTGTATATATATTTATATATCTATATAAATAAAAATGTAATGTTCGTTTGTGGGATTAACACAACTCAAAAACCACTGGGCGAATTGACACCAAATTTGGACACAACACACCTAACAACCCAATGTATGTCCTTCACTCAAAAAGATTGATTTTGTCATTTGGGAGTTGTAGTTGCTGGGATTTATAGTTCAGCTACAATCAAAGAGCATTCTGAACACCACCAATGAAAGAAGTGAACCAAACTTGGCACACGGTTCTCCCATGACCAACAGAAAATACTAGAAGGGTTTGGGTGAGCAATGACCTTGAGTTTGGGAGTTGTAGTTCACCTACATCCAGAGAGCACTGTGGACTCAAACAATGATGGATCCGGACCAAACTTGGTAGGAATACTCAATATGTCCAAATATGAGCACAGATGGAGTTTGGGGGAAATAGACCTTGACATTTGGGAGTTGTAGTTGCTGGGATTTATAGTTCACCTACTATCACAGAGCATTCTGAACCTCACTAACGACAGAATTGGGCCAGAACTCCCACACAGAACCTCCATGTGGGCCACAGCAACGCATGGCAGGGGACGGCTAGTGTGTGTATATATACACACACGCACATACATATGGCTGGAGTTACACTTCAGAGGGCCACCTGATGACGCAGCAGGTTAAATTGCTGAGCTGCTGAACTTGCTGATCGAAAGGCTAACGGTTCGAATCCAAGGAGCGGGGTGAGATCCTGCAGTTATCCCCAGCTTCTGCCAACCTAGCAGTTTGAAAACCTGCAAATGTGAGTAGATCAATAGGTACCGCCTTGGGAGCAGGGTGAGCTCCCACTGTTTAGCCCCAGCCCCAGTGACTGGTGGGTCAGCGGGAGTGGGCACTACACGGGCCTCCCTCCCTTTCCCCTCAGGCAGCATCATCGAGGCCAACCTGAAGCTCCTTCAGGAGGCAGAGCAGCGGCTCAAGGTGATCGTGACGGAGAAATTTGACGTGGCCACGAAGCAGGAAGACCTGCCTCAGGTGGAGCGCTTCTTCAAGATCTTCCCCCTCCTCGGGCTTCATGAGGAAGGGCTCAGCAAGTTCTCCGAATACCTCTGCAGGCAGGTAAGCAGGGAGTGCCGGGAGCGTAGAAGCGCTTGGAGAGAGATTGAAACATCTCGGTTCATTTCTCAAAGGTTGTGGGCAGGAAGGATCGATCCTCAAGGTGGGAAGGAGGTGGCCTGTCTTCTCATGGAGGAGTTTATGGGGGGCTTCCTTTCTGAGGAGAACCCTCCTTTTCAGGTGGCCAACAAAGCCGAGGAGAACTTGCAGCTGGTGATGAAAACGGACATGGCGGACCGCCGAGCTGCAGTCATCTTTGCAGACACCTTGACTCTCCTCTTCGAAGGTAAGAATCAGCTCGGGATGCTTGTCTGTAGTAGGCAGTAAGAGCACCTAGAGCTTCGGAGAGCTTCTGTTCTACCATCTCAAAGCTCCCTGCTTGAGCAGTGATGACACAATCGTCAGCATAGATGAAACTCTCTATACCTCATGGCTGGTCATGTGTGTAGATGTTGAACATGGATGGAGCAAGCACGCTTCCCTGAGGCAGGCCGTTCTTCTGTTTCCGCCATCTGCTTCTCTGGCCCTGGAACTCAACAAAAAAGCTCCTGTTTGGTAGCAGGTTTCCTCTGAGGCGGGTGAGGTGGTCGTCCTTTGTGATGTTATACATTTTTCTCAGGAGGAGGCGGTGGTTTACGGTATCATAAGCCGCTGACAGGTCTATGAAGACAGCTCCTGTGATCTGCTGCCTTTCAAAGCCATCTTCTATGTGCTGAGTCAGGTTCAGCACTTGCGATGTGCAGCTTTTGCCTTTCCTGAAGCCAGCTTGCTGTGGGATCAGACATGGGTCTATTTTTTCCATAATTCTATGCAAAATAAGTCTCTCCAGAACTTTGTAGATGTGGCACAACAGGGAGATTGGTCTATAGATGGTGGCAAGGTATAAATAAACATATAATAATACTTCTTTTCCCGATGGGAAATGTTAGGCATTGCCCGGGTGGTGGAGACGCACCAGCCCATCGTGGAGACCTACTACGGGCCCGGCCGGCTGTACACCATGATCAAGCACCTGCAGGCCGAATGTGACCGGCAGGTGGAGAAGGTTGTGGACAAATTTGTGCAGCAGAGGGATTACCACAGACAGGTGAGGGTCAGAGGTCGTTGCTTGTGTACCTGGGGGTTTCCCAACCCTGGCAAACAGTATTATCGCTTTGGGGTTTCCCTTTGGAGGCCACTGTTGTGACTCAGCAGCTTGACTCTGAGTCTGAAGCTGAGCCCTGTGGGTCTTGTGAGCCAGAGTTCCTTGATGAGGAGGATGATGGGTTACAGATTTCTGTTCCTGTCTCAGACAGGGTTGGAGGTGAGGCTGCAGAAGGGGAAACAGCAAGTCAGTTCTCAGGGGAAAAGAATGTCAGTGAGACTGATAACGAGAGTGAATTCCCACACGGCCAGGCTTGCTTCACCTCCTTTGCCTTCCCACGGTGACCCAGTCCACCTGGTAAACCAAGATAAGGGTTTAGAGAGCCTTGAAGATAATGAATTAACAAGCAGACAAGATCGCCTGCAATTAAGGGTCTGGAGAAGTTCTCGCTTAGCTAGTAAATGTGAAGCCAAGTCGGCCAAAGGTCATCGCAATGCGCTCATGACTGCAAAGGGTATTTAGCCTTCTGGCTGACAAACAGGCATTGTCAGTTCAACGTGGCTCTTTCCATGCAAACTTCTATGGATTAACCTTGGCTTTAAGCAGCACGCTTCTGGCTTCCTGATTCTGGGATTTTGGGTCTTGTGTTCAACTGTTTTACCATGGACTGGCTCTCCTACTTTTTCCTGACCTCCCTCCTCTCTCCCTCCCCATCACTCCTCTGGTTGGTGCCCTTGGGACGTGGTGCACGTGGGAAAGAGATGTGGCACATTCCCTTCTCTCTCTCCGCTCGCAGTTCCAGCAGGTGCAGAACAGCATGATGAGGAGCTCAGTGGCAGAAAAGATTGAACCAAGGTAGGACCAGAAAGATCGTCACGCACAGTCTGTAGCTGCAGCTCTTTCTTCTTCAAACGGACTTCTGTTGTAACTGCTGTGCAGCCCAGAAGGAGGGGAGAGCTTTCCCTTAGAATAATGCATCATCCCATGCATTTGGGAAGGAGGGCGCACCGTATCGCCTCCCCCAATGGCATCCAAAAGGAGCACTTCTCTCTTGTACAGCCAGGTTCTGCAAACATGAGCAAGGCCAGTGTTCCAAATGCCAGCTAATACAACAGATCTCTCCCTTGGGGGTTCTTTCCCACCCCATTGAAGACAACTAATGTATTTATTTACTATATTTATACTTTGCCCTCTCTCACCCCAAAGGGGACCCAGAGCGGCTTACAAGTTAGACGTACATACAATATATTATATTACTAGCATAGAGATGTGTATTGATTTATATTGACTGTATGCTATTGTTTTGATTGTTTTTAACTGTTTTATGATGTTTTTGAGCATTGAATTTTGCTATTGTTAACCGCTCTGAGTCACCTAAGGGCTGAGAAGAGCGGTATACAAATATAGTAAATAAATAAATAAATAAAATAGCACACTATTAGTATTTGTGTTATGATATTGCATTATACCAAAATACTGCAATATTATTACTAATGTTACATGTAATATATATAATTTACAATTATTATATTGCATTTATTATATTGCATTATAATATTATCATTATTATTATATATAATACAATATATTATATTAGCATAGCACAATATTAGTATTACATAATAATATATTGTATTATATTACTATAATGCAATATTATTAGTAATGTTACATGTAATATATAATATACAGTTATTATATTGCATTTATTGTATTGCATTATAATATTATCGTTATTATATGTAATACAATATATTGTATTATTAGCATAGCACAATATTAGTATTATATATTACTATGTTGTACTATATTACTATAATGCAATATTATTAGTAATATTATATGTGATATATAATATATAGTATACAATTATTATGTTTATTGTATTGCATTAAAATATTATCATTATTATATGTAATACAATAATTTATATTATATTAGCATAGCATAATATTAGTATTATATATTATGATATTGAACTATACCAAAATACTGCAATATTATTAATAATATTACATGTAATATATAAAATATAATATATAATTATTATATTGTATTTATTATGTTGCATTATATTATTATATGTAATATATTATATTAGTGTAGCACAATATTAATATTATATTTCATTATATTGTACTATATTACTATAATGCAATGTTATTAGTAATATTACATGTAATATATAATATACAATTATTATATTGTATTTATACTGCATTATAATATTATCAATATTATATGTAATGCAATATATTATAGTATTAGCATAGCACAATATTAGTGTTATATATTATGATATTGCACTATACCAAAATACTGAAATATCATTAATAATATTACATGTAATATATAATATATAATATATAATTAATGTATTGTATTTATTATATTGCATTATAATATTATCATTATATGTAATACAATATATTATATTAGCTTTGCATAATGTTAGTATTATAATGATATTGCACTATACCAAAATATTGCAATATTATTAGCAATATTACATATAATATACAAAAATTATATTATTATATTGTATTATTATTAATATATTGTATTACATTATTATATTACGATCAATATTATATGTACACACAATATATTATTAGCATAGCACAATATTCGTATTACATATTACTATATTGTACTATACCAAAATACTGCAATATTAATTATATTACATGCAATATATAATAATTACATTATATTCTACTATTATTATTAGTATTATATTGTATTATATTATGCTATTATGATCAATGTTATATGTACACGGAATATATATTATATTATTAGCATAGCACAATATTTGTATATATTACTATATTGTACTATACAAAAATACTGCGGTATTATTAGTAATATTACATGTAATATATAATATACAATTATTATATTGTATTATTGTTAGTATTATATTGCATTGCATTATAGTATTATTATCAATATTATATGTGCATACAATTATTAATATAGCATAATATTAGTATTATATATTATTATATTGCATTATACTAAAATACTTCAATATATTTTAATATATATAATTATTACATATTATTGTTAGTATTATATTGTATTACATTATTACATTATACTAATATTATCAATATTATATGTACATACAATATATTATTGTAATCCTTTTATATCATTATTATTATTATTATTATTATTATTATTATTATTATCCTTGTTCTGACCGTCCTCCGTTGCTCTTCCTCCCCAGGGAGCTTGACCCTGTTTTGACGGAGGTCACCCTGATGAATGCTCGGAGCGAGCTGTACCTGCGGTTCCTTCGGAGGCGCATCACGGCCGACTTTGAGGTGGGAGATTCCATGGCGCCGGAAGAGGTGAAGCAAGGTGAGAAGCCAAGCGGTGTTGCAACCCAGAGCAGGAAACAAGACCCTAAGATAACCATCCACCACACTTGACTGTAGGAAAAACATTCCCTTTTTATTGATGAAAAATGGTTACAAAATAGAGGAAAATGCACAGTCAAAAAGCCACAATAAAAATCAGCAATCAGAAATTTCCATGTACTGGATCAAAAACCAAAAGCAACACTGTAAAATCCTCGAACCCGTTAGCAATCCACTAACCGTACTTGGAGCACTAGAAGCCTCTTGGGATGAAGGCCACGGGAAACGGGAGATCTGCCAAGGTAATGCCTCAGTCTAAAATGATGCCTGATCTCAAGAGTCAACCCGGCGGGAGGTACTTAAAGCCGAGGAAACTGTTTCGTGACACGCCTCCAGGCTTTGAAGCCCTTGTTTCTCTTTCTTTTAATCTGCTTGACCTTCGCAGACTCTGCGATTCACTCCTGTTTTTCCAAATCTGTCCTCTTCTATCCTCATTAAGGATCCCAGGTGTTAGCTTCTCTGGAGAGCTGTCACTGCTTGACCCTGAAACATTCTCAGGAGAATGTGTATTTTCAGTTTCCAAGCCTGCAGGAGTTTCTTCTATACATTTTCATTAGAATCCTTTTCAGTAGCATCAGGAAATACAATCAGAGAAGCAGGTTCAGGTTCACACCCAGGCTGAACCCCAACAAGCGGAGCCGCCCTGGGCTTGTGCTTGTTGCTGCTGCTGCTCTTTCTTGCACAGGCTCATCGCAGAGTCTCGATTTGATTGAGAGCTGCTTAGTTTTGTTGTGAAGTGATGTTGAAGCCTTTCTTGGCCAGAGTCACTGGGCTGCTGTGAGTTATTCAGGCGGTCTGGCCATGTTCCAGCAGCATTCTCTCCTGATGTTTCGCCAACATCTGTAGCTAATGGCATCTCCAGAGGTTCTGCTGGCAATGATGCAAGTGGAGTGTCCAGGGTGGAACCACCAAATGCAGCATAATAATAATAATAATAATAATAATAATAATAATAATAATAATAATTTTATTTATACCCCGCCCAGGGGCGGCTCAAACCTTATGCAAAGTAAGCATTCGCAGTATACTTGATGTTGCCCAGGGGCGCTCTTGGGGGAAAATAGACCTTGACATATGCGAGTTGTGGTTACTGGGGTGTATAGTTCACCTACAATCAAAGAGCATTCTGAACTCCACCAAGGATGGAATTGAACCAAATATGGCACACAGAACTCATCTTAGTTCTTGGCTTCATCTTAGTTCTTGGCAGCTCTGTGTAATTGGTATTGGTAAACGTAAGGAGCCTTGTGTTGACTTCCTTCTTAACGTAAGGAACCTTGTAAACATTTCCTGAACTTAAAGAGCTACTGTCTTAGTTCCTGGCAATTCTCCGTAATTGGTGTTGGCAAACGTAAGGAGCCTTCTGTTGACTTCTTTCTTAACATGAGGAACCTTGTAAACACTTCCTGAACTTAAAGAGCTACTGCCTCTGATAATATAAACGCGTTGTTTCCCCCCAAAAGTTCAACAGTTAGTCATTTAATTGTGCGGACTTGCAGTCCCAGTCTCCCCAGGCCTGACTCTCGGTTCTTCCACCCAGAGCACCAGAAGAGCCTGGACAAGCTTTTGCACCATTGCCTCCTGAGCTGCGCCATGCAGGAGCTGATTGGCTACTACATCACCATGGAAGAGTACTTCATGCGGGAGACTGTCAACAAGGTGGGAGCCCCCATAGAGGTGTCGGCAGTCGCTCCCCACTCGAGGGACGTTGCCTTCCGGGTACATCGTGGGAGATCTCGTTCTGAGTGGGATTGGGTGGGGCCTCCTTCCTCGTGGCCACTCCCGGGTGTCGTCCCTTCCTCCAGGCCGTTGCCATGGACACCTGCGAGAAGGGCCAGCTGACCTCCAGCGTGGTGGACGACGTCTTCTACATCGTGAAGAAGTGCATCGGGAGGGCCCTCTCCAGCTCCAGCATCGACTGCCTCTGCGCCATGATCAACCACTCCATCACACAGCTCGAGTCCGACTTCAGGTGCGATTCGTGGGGGGGGGGGGGGAACGGGACGTGCAGACGTCTCTGGTCAGACATTCCCAGCATCCTCCTTAAGCTGCTGGGCCTTGCAGTCCAAAGAGGCAATTACCTCTCCTGCGGCCATGCAAACTCACTGGGCCAACTTAGGCCGGTTGCACTCTCTCGACCACAGAGGATGAGCGCAAAGGTGGACCCCTCTGAACAATTTTTTTGAAATGTTTTGATCTCATTTTAATAGTAATTTTAAATGAATGCAGCTTGTAAAGTGGACAGAGGAGTCCAGAAACAGCCGTTAGTGCACCTTCGTATGGAAAGCCAACTACAGCTAATCCAGATGAACAGTTTCCACTTTATTTATTTATTTATCATTGTATACAAGAGACAAACAAATACAGATACTGCAGTATTATAATGATGATGATGATGATGATATAGACTCTACAAGGAAGCAGACAAAACAAGGGATCCCATCCTGAGCTGCTGAAAGACGATCACGCAGACAGACTCCAAGCAGAGGCATAACACCGTTGCTCAGGTGATCCATTGGAACTTGTGCCACAAATACCATCTGCCTGCCACAAAGAACCGGTGGGATCACAAGCCAGAAAAAGTTTGCAGCATACAAGACGCTTGACTTGTTACAAAAGTTTCAAAGCTTGATGGTTGCTAGAATGAGTGTCTTCACTTAGTTACAGTCAGAGCTAATCAAACAGATCTAGCTGCTCGTAGCAAAAATCCCTCACTCTCCTTCAGAGAAAGAGTAATGAGTTTCTGACTAACCTATCCTAGGTAGTCCCCTGAGTTATCAGCTAACTCTTCCCAGAGTTCTTTCTGCTAACTAACTCAGCCTAGAGAGCTACTCTCTTGTGCTATTTCCCACAAGAAATCTGGCTGCTGCCGGACCTTTTCCTGTCAGCTAATCAGCCCTGCCTGAGACAGACTCTCTCTCCCTGAAAGCCCAGTTTCAGAAACACTTCTTCTCCCACCAGCTCCCAATTCTCATCTCCCCAGAAGCTGAAATCTTTTCTCTCCTAAGACTTGGCTCCTCCCATCTGCTCTAGCCAATCCCAGGAGATCTCAAACTCCTCCCATCTTCTATCTATCCTCACTCAAGATGGCTGCTTCCTGGCTTACACTCCCAAAATGGAGGTTTGCCATACTTTCCGGCCTACTAGGTAAGATTCACTACAGACTGGATGGTCGAAGAGGTCCCTTCCATGATTCCTCTCTGGGCCTCTTCTCCCACAGGGAGGTGCTGTGCAACAAGCTGAAGGTGGGCTTCCCGGCCACGACCTTCCAGGACTTCCAGCGAGGGGTGACCAGCGCCGTCAGCCTCATGCACAGCAGCCTCCAGCAAGGGAAGTTCGACACCAAAGGCATCGAGAGCACCGACGAGGCCAAGCAGTCCTTCCTGGTGAGTCTTGAGTCTCGGGGGGTGCGTTGCATGCCACGGATCCGTGGCCTAGGAGGCTGAGCCTGCCAATTGATTTCTTTATTTACAGCATTTCTATTCCGCCCTTCTCAGGGCGGATTACAATGTACACATACATGGCAAACATTCAATGCCTTAGACACACAACACATATAGATTGACAGTCTATATGTGGCTATTTAACATTTTCATGAGGGTATTCTGGCCACCGGGGGAGCTGTCGCTTCACCATCCATTTGTGACACATGACGAAGTACTTCCTCATTCTTTGCATGCTTGCTGGAGAATTTTATGGCCTCGTAAATTAGTTAAATTAGCCTCCCCACATAAGTGGAACCTAAATTTCCCCCTGGAGCCCCCGGTGGCGCAGTGGGTTAAAGCCCTGTGCTGGCAGGACTGAAGACTGACAGGTCGCAGGTTCGAATCCCGGGAGAAGCGGATGAGCTCCCTCTATTGGCTCCAGCTCCTCTTGCGGGGACAAGAGAGAAGCCTCCCACAAGGATGACAAAACATCAGAAATCATCCGGGCATCCCCTGGGCAACGTCCTTGCAGACGGCCAATTCTCTCACAACAGGAGCGGTTGCTCCTGACATGACCAAAAAAAAAAAAAATTCCTACTTGACAGATGCAACTGTCTTTCGGGCTGCGAAGGTCAACAGCAAGCTACACAAATTGGTCGGAAGCTCACTCTGACCCGGGCTGGCTTCAAACTCGTGACCTTTTGGGTGCTGAGCCTTCTTCCTTGTTGTGTTGTTTGCAGGTGACGCTCAACAACGTGGAAGTTTGCAGCGAGAACATCATGACTCTGAAGAAGACCCTGGAGGTACCGCTTGCCAGCTAGAGCCATTCTTGACCAAAGTGGAAGATTGGGTTTCTTTTGCACCCATATTCGTTTTCCCACCCTGACCTTTCTCTTTCCTTCCACTCGAATGAGCAACCGGGCTGTTCTGCCTAGGCCGGGAGTCCGGTGTTACTGCGCTGCCCTCGTTCTTACCTTCGTGACAGGTCTCTCTGCTTCTGGGAATTGTGGGAGTTGAAGTCCAAAACACTTAGGGGGAGGGTCCAAGTTGGCCCAGGCCTGCATCAACCACAGTGTCCCAAGGCTGAGGGGTCATAGAATCACAATAATAGAGTGGGAAGGGACCCCCAAGGGCCACCTAGTCCAACCCCTTTCTGACATTCAGGAAAAGCACCATCAAAGCACCCCTGACAGATGGCCATGCAGACATAATAATAATAATAATAATAATAACAATAATAATAATATAGTTCAGTGAGACCCTAAAGGCCATGCAGTCTAACCCCTGCCATGCAGGAAAAGCACCATCAAAGCCCTCCCAACAGATAGCCATCCAGCATCAGTATAATATACATACACATATATATATCTATATATATAAATTTGTTAGGGGCATCCAACGAGGAAACAAAACTAAACAACAAAACCCAAAAAAACCCCAACGAAACTTAACCAAAATTCCCATGCCCATAACACAACCCACAAGGTACAAACATATCTACTCAAAATGAAAAACAACACAACAACACACTCACAAAACGGCAAAACAACAAAACTCAAAAATCCCCCAACGAAACGTAACCAAAATTCCCATGCCCATAACACAACCCACAAGGTACAAACATATCTACTCAAAATGAAAAACAACACAACAACACACTCACAAAACGGCAAAACAACAAAACTCAAAAAAACCCCCAACGAAACTTAACCAAAATTCCCATGCCCATAACACAACCCACAAGGTACAAACATATCTACTCAAAATGAAAAACAACACAACAACACACTCACAAAACGGCAAAACAACTGAGCATGCGCATTGGCGCCCAGCCGCAAGTTCCCTGGCGCGCGCACATGCCCTTCCGGCCAACGTTCCCTCTGCGGAAACCATGCCCACTCCAAGCCCCGCCGCGCCGCTTCCCGCACACACACACACCCCTGCCGCACATACACACACAACCCCACACTCCATCACTCCCCCGCCGCCGCACACACACACGCAACCCCACTCCCCCGCCGCCGCACACACACACGCAACCCCACGCTCCATCACTCCCCCCCGCCGCACGACACACACGCAACCCCACGCTCCATCACTCCCCCGCCGCCACACACACGCAACCCCACGCTCCATCACTCCCCCGCCGCTGCACACACACACACACCCCCGCTCCATCACTCCCCCCGCCGCACACACACACAACCCCATGCTCCATCACTCCCCCCGCCGCCGCACACACACACAACCCCACGCTCCATCACTCCCCCCGCCGCCGCACACACACACGCAACCCCACACTCCATCACTCCCCCCGCTGCCGCACGCACACACGCAACCCCACTCCCCCCGCCGCCGCACACACACACGCAACCCCACGCTCCATCACTCCCCCCGCCGCCGCACGCACACACGCAACCCCACTCCCCCCGCCGCCGCACACACACACAACCCCACGCTCCATCACTCCCCCCGCCGCCGCACACACACACAACCCCACGCTCCATCACTCCCCCCGCCGCTGCACACACACACACAACCCCACGCTCCATCACTCCCCCCCCGGCACACACACACAACCCCACGCTCTACCCCCCCCCGCCCGCACACACACACAACCCCACGCTCCATCACTCCCCCCGCCGCTGCACACACACATACAACCCCACGCTCCATCACTCCCCCCGCCGCCACCCACACCTTCACTCCCCCCTGCACACACACACGCAACCCCACGCTCCATCACTCCCCCCGCCGCCGCACACACACCCACAACCCCACGCTCCATCACTCCCCTGCCCCACACACACACAACCCACGCTCCATCATCCCCCCCCGCCCCGCACACACACACACAACCCACCCACTCCCCCGCCGCCGCACACACACACAACCCCACACTCCATCACTCCCCCCCGCGCACACACACACGCAACCCCACCCCCACCCCCGCCGCCGCACACACACACGCAACCCCATCCCCCCCGCCGCCGCACACACACACGCAACCCCACGCTCCATGACTCCCCCCGCTGCCGCACACACACACGCAACCCCACGCTCCATCACTCCCCCCGCCGCCGCACACACACAACCCCACGCTCCATCACTCCCCCGCCGCGCACACACACACAAACCCCACGCTCCATCCCCCCCCGCCGCTGCACACACACACGCAACCCCACGCTCCATCACTCCCCCACCCCAATCTTACCTCCTTTTACTTCACGCCACCTCCAAACCCCACCCCGCCCCTTCCCGCCCTGTCAAAATCTAGGAAAGACAGGAAGGAAGGAAAGAAGGAAGAAAGAGAAAGGGAGGTAAAGAAAAAGGGGGAAGGAAGGAAAGTTAGAGAAAGAAGGAAGAAGAAAAGGAAAGAAAAGGAAAGATGGAAGGAAAGAAAAGAGAGACAGCAGAAAAGAAAGAAAAAGGGGGAAGGAAGGAAAGAGATAGAGAAAGAAGAGGAGAAGGAAAGATGGGAGGGAAGGAAGGAAGGAAGGAAGGAGGGAAAGGGAGAGAAAGAGGGAAGATTGGCCACAGCAACACGTGGCGGGTAAAGGTTGTTATTTCTATTATTATTATTATGCTATTGTTCCTATGAGACCCTTTTAGGGGGAATGGGAGAGGTGTCAGGTCCCAGAGGCAATGCATTGCATTATTGTTATTGTTATGATGGTGGTGAAATAAAAGGAAATAAAAAGTGAAAGAAGGAAGCAAACAGGGAGGGAAGAAAGGCAAAGGAAGAAAGGGGAGGGAATGAAGGAAAGAGAGAAGGATGAAACCAAGTAGTGAAAGAAAGAAAGAGGTAGAGAAGGAAGAAAGGAGAGAAAGGGGGAGGAAAAGGGGGAAGGAATAGGTAGGTACCTCTCTTTCATAATAGTCCAGATATCTACCTCAACTTTGATAAGTTTTACTATAGGCCACAGCAACGCGTGGCAGGGCACAGCTAGTATATATATATATATATATATATATATATATATATATATATATTAATGTTATAATTAATTATAATGTTAATTAATATTAATTTATATATATATGTGTGTGTAGAATATTATATATATAAAATAATATAATCCTAAAGTTGGAAGGGACCCCAAGGGCCATCTAGTCCAACCCCATGATGCCCTGTAGAAAATAATAATAATAATAATAATAATAATAATAATAATAATAATAATTGTTCCTTCGTTCAGTCGTTTCCGACTCTTCATGACCTCTTGGACCATCCCACACCAGAGCTCCCTGTCGGCCGTCACCACCCCCAGCTCCTTCAAGGTCAATCCAGTCACTTCAAGGATATAAATAAAATAAATAAACTTTATTTGTACCCCGCCACCATCTCCCTCCCCTATGGGGACTCGGGGCGGCTTGCATGGGGCCAGGCCCAAACAACAATTACAATAAAGAGAACCAAAATACAACCAAAAATGCAAACAATAAACATCATAAAGAACATCATAATTACATAGAACATATGAATACATAACGATATAAGAATTACAATAGACACAGAGACAATGGTCGGGCTACAAGTAATTATTGAAAATAACAATTATTGAAAATGGGCTACAAGTAATTATTGAACGAACTTTTTGAAATGTTTTGATCTCATTTTAATAGTAATTTTAAATGAATGCAGCTTGTAAAATGGACAGAAGAGTCCAGAAATAGCAGTTAGTTCCCACCTTCATATGGAAAGCCAACTACAGCTAATCCAGATGAACAGTTTCCACTCTGTTTATTTATTTATTTATTTATCACTAGCCGTCCCCTGCCACACATTGCTGTGGCTCACATGGGGATTCTGTGTGGGAGGTTTGGCCCAATTCTATCGTTGGTGGGGTTCAGAATACTCTGTGATTGTGGGTTTAATTAAATTAGTTTTTCATTAAAACTAATTAAAAACTCAGGATCCCATCCATGCATCTTTAAATAAATAAAGCCATAATAATAATAATAGAGTTGGAAGGGACCCCCAAAGGCCAACTAGTCCAAACCCATTATGCCATGCAGGAAAAGCACCATCAAAGCACCCCTGACAGATGACCATGCAGCCATAATAATAATAATAGAGTTGGAAGGGACCCCCAAAGGCCAACTAGTCCAAACCCATTATGCCATGCAGGAAAAGCACCATCAAAGCACCCCTGACAGATGGCCATGCAGCCATAATAATAATAATAGAGTTGGAAGGGACCCCCAAAGGCCAACTAGTCCAAACCCATTATGCCATGCAGGAAAAGCACCATCAAAGCACCCCTGACAGATGGCCATGCAGCCATAATAATAATAATAGAGTTGGAAGGGACCCCCAAAGGCCAACTAGTCCAAACCCATTATGCCATGCAGGAAAAGCACCATCAAAGCACCCCTGACAGATGGCCATGCAGCCATAATAATAATAATAGAGTTGGAAGGGACCCCCAAAGGCCAACTAGTCCAAACCCATTATGCCATGCAGGAAAAGCACCATCAAAGCACCCCTGACAGATGACCATGCAGCCATAATAATAATAATAGAGTTGGAAGGGACCCCCAAAGGCCAACTAGTCCAAACCCATTATGCCATGCAGGAAAAGCACCATCAAAGCACCCCTGACAGATGGCCATGCAGCCATAATAATAATAATAGAGTTGGAAGGGACCCCCAAAGGCCAACTAGTCCAAACCCATTATGCCATGCAGGAAAAGCACCATCAAAGCACCCCTGACAGATGACCATGCAGCCATAATAATAATAATAGAGTTGGAAGGGACCCCCAAAGGCCAACTAGTCCAAATCCATTATGCCATGCAGGAAAAGCACCATCAAAGCACGCCTGACAGATGGCCATGCAGCCATAATAATAATAATAATAGAGTTGGAAGGGACCCCCAAAGGCCAACTAGTCCAAACCCATTATGCCATGCAGGAAAAGCACCATCAAAGCACCCCTGACAGATGGCCATGCAGCCATAATAATAATAATAGAGTTGGAAGGGACCCCCAAAGGCCAACTAGTCCAAACCCATTATGCCATGCAGGAAAAGCACCATCAAAGCACCCCTGACAGATGGCCATGCAGCCATAATAATAATAATAATAGAGTTGGAAGGGACCCCCAAAGGCCAACTAGTCCAAACCCATTATGCCATGCAGGAAAAGCACCATCAAAGCACCCCTGACAGATGGCCATGCAGCCATAATAATAATAATAGAGTTGGAAGGGACCCCCAAAGGCCAACTAGTCCAAACCCATTATGCCATGCAGGAAAAGCACCATCAAAGCACCCCTGACAGATGGCCATGCAGCCATAATAATAATAATAGAGTTGGAAGGGACCCCCAAAGGCCAACTAGTCCAAACCCATTATGCCATGCAGGAAAAGCACCATCAAAGCACCCCTGACAGATGGCCATGCAGCCATAATAATAATAATAGAGTTGGAAGGGACCCCCAAAGGCCAACTAGTCCAAACCCATTATGCCATGCAGGAAAAGCACCATCAAAGCACGCCTGACAGATGGCCATGCAGCCATAATAATAATAATAATAGAGTTGGAAGGGACCCCCAAAGGCCAACTAGTCCAAATCCATTATGCCATGCAGGAAAAGCACCATCAAAGCACCCCTGACAGATGACCATGCAGCCATAATAATAATAATAGAGTTGGAAGGGACCCCCAAAGGCCAACTAGTCCAAACCCATTATGCCATGCAGGAAAAGCACCATCAAAGCACCCCTGACAGATGGCCATGCAGCCATAATAATAATAATAGAGTTGGAAGGGACCCCCAAAGGCCAACTAGTCCAAACCCATTATGCCATGCAGGAAAAGCACCATCAAAGCACCCCTGACAGATGACCATGCAGCCATAATAATAATAATAGAGTTGGAAGGGACCCCCAAAGGCCAACTAGTCCAAACCCATTATGCCATGCAGGAAAAGCACCATCAAAGCACCCCTGACAGATGGCCATGCAGCCATAATAATAATAATAGAGTTGGAAGGGACCCCCAAAGGCCAACTAGTCCAAACCCATTATGCCATGCAGGAAAAGCACCATCAAAGCACCCCTGACAGATGGCCATGCAGCCATAATAATAATAATAGAGTTGGAAGGGACCCCCAAAGGCCAACTAGTCCAAACCCATTATGCCATGCAGGAAAAGCACCATCAAAGCACCCCTGACAGATGGCCATGCAGCCATAATAATAATAATAGAGTTGGAAGGGACCCCCAAAGGCCACCTAGTCCAAACCCATTATGCCATGCAGGAAAAGCACCATCAAAGCACCCCTGACAGATGGCCATGCAGCCATAATAATAATAATAGAGTTGGAAGGGACCCCCAAAGGCCAACTAGTCCAAACCCATTATGCCATGCAGGAAAAGCACCATCAAAGCACCCCTGACAGATGGCCATGCAGCCATAATAATAATAATAGAGTTGGAAGGGACCCCCAAAGGCCAACTAGTCCAAACCCATTATGCCATGCAGGAAAAGCACCATCAAAGCACCCCTGACAGATGGCCATGCAGCCATAATAATAATAATAGAGTTGGAAGGGACCCCCAAAGGCCAACTAGTCCAAACCCATTATGCCATGCAGGAAAAGCACCATCAAAGCACCCCTGACAGATGGCCATGCAGCCATAATAATAATAATAGAGTTGGAAGGGACCCCCAAAGGCCAACTAGTCCAAACCCATTATGCCATGCAGGAAAAGCACCATCAAAGCACCCCTGACAGATGACCATGCAGCCATAATAATAATAATAGAGTTGGAAGGGACCCCCAAAGGCCACCTAGTCCAACCCCTTTCTGACATTCAGGAAAAGCACCATCCAAGCACCCCTGACAGATGACCATGCAGCCATAATAATAATAATAGAGTGGGAAGGCACCCCCAAAGGCCAACTAGTCCAACCCTTTCTGACATTCAGGAAAAGCACCATCAAAGCACCCCTGACAGATGGCCATGCAGCCATAATAATAATAATAGAGTTGGAAGGGACCCCCAAAGGCCAACTAGTCCAAACCCATTATGCCATGCAGGAAAAGCACCATCAAAGCACCCCTGACAGATGACCATGCAGCCATAATAATAATAATAATAGAGTTGGAAGGGACCCCCAAAGGCCACCTAGTCCAACCCCTTTCTGACATTCAGGAAAAGCACCATCCAAGCACCCCTGACAGATGGCCATGCAGACATAATAATAATAATAATAATAATAATAATAATAATAATAATAATAATAATAGAAGAGTTGGAAGGGACCCCCAAAGTCCACCTATTTATTTATTATTTACAGCTTTTATATTCCTCCCTTTAATATAATATTAATAGAATATATATATATATATATATATATATATATATGAATCCTAGAGTTGGAAGGGACCCCAAGGGCCATCCAGTCCAACCCCATGATGCCATGTAGAAAATAATAATAATTGTTGTTGTTCATTCGTTCAGTCGTTTCTGACTCTTTGTGACCTCATGGACCATCCCACACCAGAGCTCCCTGTTGGCCGTCACCACCCCCAGGGTCTCCTTCAAGGCCAATCCAGTCACTTCAAGGATATAAATAAAATAAATAAACTTTATTTGTACCCCGCCACCATATATCTCCCTCCCCGAAGGGGACTCGGGGCGGCTTCCATGAGGCCAAGCCCAGAGGTGCAGGAGGGCCTGGCGTGTCCTCCCCTTCCCCTTCCCCTCCCAGGAGGGTCTCCTTGGCCCCTTCCCGTTGAGAGACCATCGCCTGCCCCTTCCCTGGTTCCTCTTTCCTTGCAGAGCGACTGTGCCAAGCTGCTGAGCCAAGGCTTTGGGGGCGAGCAGGCCCAGGCCAAGATTGACAGCTGCCTCTCCGACATGGTGGCCGTCTCCAACAAGTTTCGGGACCTCTTGCAGGTGAGGAGCCCCTCGATGCAACAGGAGAGACTCCCCTCCAGTGGCCCGCCAGCCGCGAGAGAGCTTCTTCCAGCTCTTTCTTTCATTCTTGTCAAATCTTGTCCTCTCCTCGTTGTGTCACCTCAAGAGGAAATGCAGGAACTAAAAGCAGGGTCCGGAAGCCTGCTGGACCTTGCCAGGACTCGGACACAAGTGTAGGCTGGGCGGAGGGGCCACCAGCAGGGCCCCTCCACCCATTTGTCCTTGGACCATCCAGGCTGACCAACCACTGTCGTTTGCTCCCTCCAGGATGGCCTGAATGAGCTGACCAACTCGGCCATCAAGCCGCAGGTCAAGCCCTGGATCAACCTCTTCCTCTCCGTCTCCCACAACATCGAGGAGGTGAGCCTTACTATTTACTTATTTGTTTAGAAGTTTTCTATACCGGTCTTCTCACCTCCAAGGAGGGACTCAGGCCGGTTCACAACATGCGTTCATATACAATAATATACCAAAACCACACAGTGCATCATCATTACACATTAAAATATAAGTACAATCAAAACATCACCATCACATGACACAAGCCAAGTCGTCAATACAGTCACAGTCACAGTTCATCCTCCTCCTTCCGTGTGGACGAAGGTTATAGACTCAGTCCTCAAATGCCACGCTCCAAAGCCAGGTCTTTGTTAGTTTCCTGAAGGTCAGGAGGGAGGGAGCACATCTAATCTCTAGTGGGAGGGAGTTCCAAAGCTGAGGAGCCGCCACCAAGAAGGCCCTGTCCCTCATCCCCACCAAACGCGATTGCGAAGGTGGTGGGACCGAGAGCAGGGCCCCTCCGGAAGATCTTAATAACCTTGATGGTTCATAGGGGAGAATACGTTTGGACAGGTAGTCCTTTAGGGCTTTATAGGCTTCGAACTCATGACCTTTTTGGTCAGAGTGATCTTCTGTGCTAAATGTTTTCATAGTATTTATGACTGTTTTAATTGTTGTGCCATCAAATGGTTGCTGACTGAACCGCCTTGAGTCACCTCCGGGCTGAGTAAAGCGGTATACAAATATGATAGATAGATAGATAGATAGATAGATAGATAGATAGATAGATAGATAGATAGATAGATAGATAGATAGATAGAGTGACAGACGGATGGGTGGATGGATGGGTGGATGGATGGATGGATGGATAAGTAAATAGATGGATGGATGGATGGATGGATGGATGGATGGATGGATGGATGGATGGATGGATGGATAAGTGGATGGATAAGTGGATGGATGGATGGATGGATGGATAGCGTGACAGACGGATGGATGGATGGATGGATGGATGGATGGATGGATAAGTGGATGGATGGATGGATGGATGGATGGATGGATGGATGGATAGAGTGACAGACGGATGGGTGGATGGATGGATAGATAGACAGACAGATAGATGGACAGATAGATAGATGGACAGATGGATGGGTGGGTGGATGGATGGATGGATGGATGGATGGATGGATGGATGGATGGATGGATAAGTAAATAGATGGATGGATGGATGGATGGATGGATGGATGGATGGAGTGACAGACGGATGGGTGGATGGATGGATGGATGGATAGATAGACAGACAGATAGATAGATGGACAGATAGATGGATGGATGGATAAGTGGATGGATGGATGGATGGATGGATGGATGGATGGATGGATAGAGTGACAGACGGATGGGTGGATGGATGGATGGATGGATAGATAGACAGACAGATAGATGGACAGATAGATAGATGGACAGATGGATGGATGGATGGATGGATGGATGGATGGATGGATGGATGGATGGATGGATGGATAGAAGATAGAGGGAGGGAGGAAAGGAAGGGAAGGCTTCCCTGAATGTTCCCCTGCCCCTGACCTCTGGAGTGGGGGGCCTTCTCTCTCTCTCTCTCTCTCCCTCCCTTTCCCGGCGCTGGATCTCCCTCTTTCTCTGTTCCAGGAAGAGTTCAGTGACTACGAGGCCAACGACCCGTGGGTCCAGCAGTTCATCCTCAACCTGGAGCAGCAAATGGGGGAGTTCAGGGTGGGTCCCTTTCCCTTGGTGTGCCCCAAGCCCAGTCCGGGTTGTGTGGGGCAGCCTCTTGCTCCAAGGGGTGGGTGGAGGTCTCCTTGCAGGGGGTCCCCCTGGGCCCTTCTTTACATGGGTCCCATTCTGGCCCCTTTGGAGCTGTGATCATGTGCGGCCGGCAACCTCAACACTTCCCCTGAATGGCCACCTCATAACGGAGCCTCGTTGGAGCCTCATTGGCCGTAGTTGGGGGCTTCCTCAGCCTGGAAGGGGTGAGCGGGGTGCCCCCCTCCTTGACTTCCGGCCACCTTGCCCTTTGCTCTCCAGGCCGGGCTCTCCCCCGTGATCTACGACAGCCTGACCAGCCTGATGACCACCCTCATCGCTCTCGAGCTGGAGAAGGTGGTCCTGAAGTCCACCTTCAACCGGGTAAGCAAGGCCGACACTCGTGACGCTGCCCCCCCCCTTTGGCCACTTCACCCTCTGAGCCTCCTCCTTAAGCAGAATGCAGGCTGCCCCCCAGTTACAAACATCTGCCTTACGCCTGACTCCTAGTTAAGTATGGGGCTGAAAATCCACAAAATCCAATGGTCAAGGGACAGGAACCAGAGCAAAGATGTCAAAACAAGCCCCACGGGGGTGTTCACCCTACCCTATGTGGTCCAAAAGTACATGTATGTGTGTGTATTTGTGTGTGTATACACATACATGTGCAAGGGTGGGTGGGTCAAAAAGTCTTGCCTCTTGTGTCCTAAAAACATTATGAATGAGCCTGGAAGAGCAGAAGTTGCTCCTGATCCTCACCTGGAGTGTTCCCTCCGCAAACCTCCCCTTCAACAGAGTCACCATCAAGGTGTGGACCCGTTGGCGCCATCGCTCAACCCAGGCATCCCAAACATTACGGGGAAAAATCAGGGTTTTGCTTTGTGACCCAGGATTCTGAAGCTGATTGAACGTCATTTGAGTCATTGAATCTTTGACATGTTTGGACCTTGGAAAGACAACCGACATTCCTTTCCTTTTGCCTTTTCCTTTCATTTCCCCCTTCCTTTTTCCTTTCCCCTTTCCTTTCCCCTTTCCTTTTTTCCTTTCCTTTCCCCTTTCCTTTTTTCCTTTCCTTTCCTCTTTCCTTTTCTTTCCCCTTTCCTTTTTCCTTTTCGTTTCTTTTCCACTTTCCTTTTCATTCCTTTTCCTTTCCTTTTTCCTTTCCCCTTTACTTTTCTTTCCCTTTTCTTTACCCCATTACTTTTCATTCCTTTTCCTTTCCTCTTTCCTTTCCTTCCCCCTTTCTTTTCTTTCCTTTCTCCTTTACTTTCCTCTTTCTCCTTTCTCCTTTCCTCTCTCCTTTCCTATTTCTCCTTTCCTTTCTTCTTCCTTTCCTCTTTCTCCTTTCCTCTCTCCCTTCCTCTTTTTCCTTTCCTTTCTCTTTTCTCCTTTCCTTTCTTCTTTCTTCTTTCTCCTTTCTCCTTTCCTCTTTCTTTCTCCTTTCCTCTTTCTCCTCTCCCTTCTCCTTCCTCCTTTCCTCTCTCCCTTCCTCTTTTTCCTTTCCTTTCTTCTTTCTCCTTTCTCCTTTCCTCCCTCCTTTCCTATTTCTCCTCTCCTTTCTCCTTTCCTCTTTCTTTCTCCTTTCCTCTTTCTCCTCTCCCTTCTCCTTCCTCCTTTCCTCTCTCCCTCTTTTTCCTTTCCTTTCTTCTTTCTTCTTTCTCCTTTCTCCTTTCCTCTCTCCTTTCCTCTTTCTCCTCTCCCTTCTCCTTCCTCCTTTCCTCTCTCCCTTCCTCTTTTTCCTTTCCTTTCTTCTTTCTCCTTTCTCCTTTCCTCCCTCCTTTCCTATTTCTCCTCTCCTTTCTCCTTTCCTCTTTCTTTCTCCTTTCCTCTTTCTCCTCTCCCTTCTCCTTCCTCCTCTCCCTTCGTCTTTTTCCTTTCCTTTCTCCCTTCTCCTTTCCTTTCTCCTTTCCTCTTTCTATCCTTTCTCCTTTCCTCTCTCCCTACCTCTTTCTCCTTTTTCCTTTCCTTTCCTTTCCTTTCCTTGAATGATGTTCAAAGAGCTTTAAAATCATGGATCTTCCTCCTTCTCTGCCCAAGGTATTCCTAAGACCATCAGAAATATGTGCTTCCTGCCCCCTCTGGCACCCCCTGGTGACCCCCTCCCCAGGGTCCCGACCCCCAGGTAGAGAAACGCTGGCGTAGGGCCAGTCTGGCCAGGAGTTGGTGGCTTCTGCCTGTCTCACCTGTGCCCTCCTTTCCTCAGCTGGGGGGGCTGCAGTTCGACAAGGAGCTGCGCTCGCTCATCGCCTACCTGACCACCGTCACCACCTGGACCATCCGCGACAAGTTTGCCCGCCTCTCCCAGATGGCCACCATCCTCAACCTGGAGCGGGTGAGCAGGCTGGGGCCGGGGGCCGCCAAGGGGGCCTCTCCTTTGTTTCCCCCCCCCCCTTACCTCCCCCCTCCGTCTTCCGCGCAGGTGACGGAGATCCTGGACTACTGGGGGCCCAACTCGGGCCCGCTGACCTGGCGCCTGACCCCGGCCGAAGTCCGGCAGGTGCTGGCCCTCCGCATGGACTTCCGCAGCGAAGACATCAAGCGGCTGCGGCTCTGACCGACCCGGAACTCCCCCGGAAGGACTTCTCCTCGATCCAAAGGATGCAAACCACGTCCGTCTCCACCCAACACATTCCGTGTTCTTTAATAATAATAATTGTGTTTCTTACCCACGTCTCCTTGTGGCTCACAACACACTCAAAACGCAGTGCAAACATTCTACTTACACACACATTTATTGCAGGTTCTATCGTCTTGCCATCCCTTCCTTGAGTCACAGAAGACACGTTTCCACCACCAAAGGCAGCCAACTCAGGCAGAGCAAAATATACGACAAATGGCAGAACTTGAGAAGACTATTCTGCAAATGTTATCTTTTATTTTTGGAGTGGACATTCTATTTCGATCCAATATATACCCACCACCTCAGAAGTGCAATCCCTGTTTGCCAAGCCTTTGGCCCTCCGGGTGTTTTGGACTACAACTCCCACAATTCCTGCCTGGCCGTGTTCCAGAAGCATTCTCTCCTGACGTTTCGCCCGCATCTATGGCAGGCATCCCCAGAGGTTGTGAGGTCTGTTGAGAACTACGGAAATGGGGTTTATATCTCTGTGGAACGATGTCCAGGGTGGGAGAGAGAACTCCCGTCGGTGTGAGGCAAGTATGAATGTTGCCATTGGCCACCTTGATTGGTATTGAATAGCCTTGCAGCTTCAAAGCCTGGCTGCTTCCTACCTGGGTGAATCCTATATATATCTGTGGAACGATGTCCAGGGTGGGAGAAAGAACTCGTGTCTGCTAGAGGTACTTGCGATTGTTGCCATTGGCCACCTTGATTGGCACTGAATAGCCTTGCAGCTTCAAAGTCTGGCTGCTTCCTGCCTGGGGGAATCCTATATATATATCTGTGGAACGATGTCCAGGGTGGGAGGAAGAACTCATGTCTGCTAGAAGTACATGTGATTGTTGCCACTGCCCACCTTGATTGGCACTGAATAGCCTTGCAGCTTCAAAGCCTGGCTGCTTCCTGCCTGGGGGAATCCTATATATATATATCTGTGGAATGATGTCCAGGGTGAGAGAAAGAACTCTCGTCGGCGTGAGGCAAGTGTGATTGTTGCCATTGGCCACCTTGATTGGCACTAAATAGCCTTGCAGCTTCAAAGCCTGGCTGCTTCCTGCCTGGGTGGGAGAAAGAACATGCAATTGTTGCCACTGCCCACCTTGATTAGCATTTAATGGCACCTCTGGGGGTAGCTGCCATAGATGTGGGCAAAATGTCAGGAGAGAATGCTTCTGGAACTCACAGCAACCCAGCCTACCGGCTGTTAGGGATTGTGGGGATTGTAGTCCAAAATACCTGGAGGGAGGGCCAAAGTTGGCCCATGCCTGTGCTAAAGGGATGTGGTATAGCCCTTAGGAACGGCTGCCCCTCCAAGAATGACCAATCCCAACTGACCCTTGCATTGCAACGCATGAAATAAATTCCTGAGAAAGAGGCTCTTGTTGTGCTGGTTTGCTCCCTGGTTTACCTCATTGTGTTTGACGTGGAACCACAGCACTTCTTTCAGTTTAATTCAGGAGCCGTCGGGGCTCTCCTGTCCTCAGGTGCAGGTGGGAAACGCAAGCCTGGCCCGGTGCAGGTGCCCAGACCAACTCTAGGCTGCGGCCGGTGCATCTCCCTCGCTTGTGGTCCATTGTGAAGGGTCATCGCCGACCGCCGTGGTGCTCCGCTTCCCCTTCTGTCCTCTGCTGTGGTCACTCTGGGGAGAGCGCCAACGCCTGGCCATCCTGAGCAAGTGGCCATTCCATTGGCCGGACAACACCATCCTCGCCCTGAAGGCGCACCTGGATGCCGCCCGTGTCCACCTCCACCCTGTGGATGCTGACGTTGGCCAAGCCCTGGAAGGAAGGCAAGGAGAGTCAACCGGCTTACTTGTCCGAACGGATCTCCCTCTGCGTTCCACCTCGTAGTTTAAGATCCACCGGGGAGGCCCTGCTCTCGGTCCCACCAGCGTTGCAAACACGTCTGGTGGGGACAAGGGACAGGGCCTTCTTGGTGGTGACCCCCCGCTTGTGGAATTCGCTCCCCAGCGAGATTAGATCGCCGTCCTCCCTCCTTTTTTTCAGGAAAAAAACTAAAGACGTGGTTTTGGAGCACAGCAGCACTTTAGACATCGAACCCGGACAATAGATCTGTTATGACAATTGGAAATGGCTTCTATGTGATTGTGTAATTTTAATTAATATTGCTGTTTTAATTTGCGATATACTAGGATTTTATATTGTTGTTACTGATATTGTTGGCATTGAATTGTTGCCTGCGTTAACCGGCCTGAGTCCCCCCTCGGGGGTGAGAAGGGCGGGGCAGAAATGGTGTAAATAAATAAAACAATAATAAACAATCTCCCCATGGCAGAGGAACACGTACACGTATCGACCTGAGTCTGATGCACCATCGAATCTAATGCGCACCTCAGTTTGCAAAAAAAGTATTTGCTCTCTTTGGCCCCTTCCACACAGCTGTATGAACTCCACATGGAACTGGATTACACGGCAGTGTGGACTCCGATAATCCAGTTCAGCGCCAATACTGTGGAAGGGATGATCTGCCTTCATATTCTGGGATATCTGGCTGTGTGTGTGTGTGGGAGGGCCCTTTGTCCTTTGGCCGTTGGATTGACCGCCTGCTTAGGATTCCTTCTTCAAAAATGGAGGAGAAGGCCAGAAAAAGAGGGGATCGTAATGCAAAAAGGCCGAAGAAGATGGACACAAAAGCCAAGTGGTATCAAATATAGTAAACAAAGGAATATATTGGGAGGGAGGAAGAAAAATTGTTAAAATATATACTGTATATGCTCAAGTATAAGCCTAGCTATCAAGTCATTCTGTTTCCTCAGTTTTTCGTGGTAAAATTAGGTGCCTCGGCTTATATTCTGGTCGGCTTATACTCGAGTATATACGGTATTCCATATACCGTATATACTCGAGTGTAAGCTGACAAAAAACTAGGAAAATGTATTGATTTGAGTATAAGCCGAGGATGGGAAATACGGCAGCTATTGGTCAACGTTTGTTATAAGTTGTTGTAAACCGCGTTGTCGCCGGCTAGGCTGAGAAACGGCAGTATACAAGTATAGCAAATAAATAAATAAATAATGTCAAAATAAAAATAGATACCAATATAATTACATTAATTGCAGCATCAGTAGGTTCAATGTTTTTGAATATTTACATAAAAGTGCAATTTAAGATAAGAGTGCCTAACTCTGATTCAACCCTTATTCTGACCTCCTTTGATGTAAATATGCTTACACATCCTTCCAATAATAATAAATAGAATAAAATAATAATAATAATAATAATAATAATAGAGTAAAAACAATGGAAATGTAATAACAGTAATAATAGAGTAAAATAATGTAATAATAACAATAATAAATGTAATAACAATAATACATTTATTATGTATTTATAACAGTAAATGTAAGACTGTGGGATCTATATTAGCAATATTAAATAACCACTCACAAGCCGGTTTTGCTTTGAAATGGATATATTGCTTGTATCTCTGTAGCAAAGAGAGACACTACGGACTTTTTCCCACCTCCACTTCCTTTTAGACACCTTTGCTGCCCATTTTCTCCTCTTCTCAGTTTCCTCGTTAGAACTGGTTGCTTCACAAGTTCCAATACAAGGTTTCCAGCGCCCTTTGCTGGCTTCAAAATGTCACAGAGAGAGCATTGAGGTAGCCAGGATAATTCCGTCAGGATGTCATGGATGTCTTCATGCCATCAGAAATTGACTCCTGACAGTAAAATAGTAAATAACACTGACTCGAGCATAAGCCAAGGGGGACTTTTTCAGCCTAAAAAAAGGCCTGAAAAACGGCTTATACTCGAGTATATATGGCAAGTCTCCTCTATTGTCTTCCAAACTTCCTGGTGAGGAAATGTGGCAACGTTATGCTCGCTTGACCCAAAAAGGGAAGAGTGGCCACTCACCTCGGCCTTTGCCAGGACTTTGGCCAGGTGCTCGTGCTGGCGGGGCTCGCGCGTCAAGGCGCAGAGGAAGCCCCCTCCTCCGGCCCCGGTCAGGCTCTGGCCCAGGACCAGCGGCTCCAGCAGCTCCATCATGCGCCGCACGGCCAGGGGCTCGCACCCCGGAGCCATCCGCTTCTTCTGCGCCCAATAGCGGTTGAGGCACTCGCCCAGGAGAGGGAGGTCGCCTGCGAGGGAAAGAAGGAAGGTAGGACACTCCGGGGCCGCTCTGGGGAGCCACGCCACCACTAATGTTCTGCCACACATCTATATAAATAAAAAGGTCATGTTGTTTTGTGGGATTAACAGAACTCCAAAACCACTGGGGGAATTGGCACCAAATTTGAACGCAACACACCTCTCAGGCCAACGAGTGACCATCTATCTAGATATATAAAAATGCTCTGTGCGACATGAGTACCTTAAAAACAAAAGAACCAATGAACGAAATCACACCAAATTTGGCAACAAAATGCCTCACAACACAAGGAGTGACCATCACTCAAAAATTAAGGTTTTGTCACTTGGGAGTTGTAGTTGCAGGGATTTATAGTTCACCTACAATCAAAGAGCATTCTGAACCCCACTAACGATGGAATTGAACCAGACTTGGCACACAGAACTCCCTTGACCAACAGAAAATAATGGAAGGGTTTGGTGGGCATTGGGAAGGAAGGAGGGAAGGAAGGAAGGAAGGAAAGAAAGAAAGAGGTACCAAAGGAAGGAAGAAGAGAATGTAGAAAGGAAAGGAAAGGGGAAGGAAAAGCAGGAAAGAGGTAAAGAAGGAAGGAGAAAAGGAAATAAAAAGTGAAAGAAGGAAGGAAACAGGGAGGGAAGAAAAGAGACAAAGGAAGAAGTAGAGAAAGGAATGAAGGAAAGAGAGAAGGAAGGATGAAACCAAAGACCAAAAGAGAGAGAAAAGAAAGAAAGTAAAGAAGGAAGAAAGGAGAGAAAGGGGAAGGGGAAGAAAAAGGGGGAATAGGTAAGTGCCTCACTTTAATAATAGTCCAGATATCTACCTCTACTTTGAAAAGTCTTTCTATAGGCCACAGCAATGCGTGGCAGGGCACAGCTAGTCACTCATAAAAACACTGGAAAACACAGAGGAAGGGACTTGAAAAGCCAAAAAAAATGACAATGCATGTGCAAAACCACATATATACACATATACACAAATATATACACACACAAAACACATATATACAGACTGGGCCACAGCAATGCCTGGCAGGGGACAGCTAGTTCTACATCTATAATGGTACATGATTGACTTGTTCTCAAAGTAGAGACAAATGGGGGTCATTTGAGAAGATGTTGTGATCCGCACAAAAGCTGAGGAAAGGGTCATTTGAGTGACTAAATAATATACCGTATATTACATTTATTATTATTATTATTATTATTATTATTATTATTATTATTGATTACAATAATGGAAATGTAATAATTATTTTCATCTTCTTCAATGTAAATGTGCTTACGTATCCTTGCAATAATAATAAAGAGAATAAGATAATAAATGTAATAATTTATTAAGAAAAATAAATTATTTACATTTATTATTTTACTCTATTATAACTCTTATAATAGAGTAAAATAATAAATGTAATAACAATAATAAAGTAAAATAATAAATGCTTGCCATAGATGCAGGCGAAATGTCAGGAGAGAATGCTACTAAATTATGGCCATATAGCCCGAAAAAAACCTACAACAACCCAACACAACAACAGCCCAAGAAATCCAACTCCGGCCATGAAAGCCTTTGACAATACATTGAAATAATAAATGTAATAATACTAATAGAGTAAAAATATAAATGTATTACAAATAATAATAATAATAATAATAATAATAACAGAGTAAAATAATAAATAACCTTGATTCGAGTGTAAGCCGAGGGGAATTTTTTCAGCCTGAAAAACTAGGCTTATACTTGAGTATATACGGTATACATATA